CCTCTTACATTTTAGCTTGAATGGATTTATTTAATTAAAGTATAGAGACCAAAACAGATCTTTAGCTGACAGAGCAATACATTTAGAGCAGTAATTATAAAAAAAAAAAATTGCATTTAAGATAAAAAATAAAATGTTGTCTGTCAATATGCTCAATTCACAATTACTTAAGTGGAAAAGTTTCAAGAAATGAGTCTGAGATGATTCACTTTATAACATGGCGCATTATCCTGTTGGAAGTAGCCATCAGAAGATTGGTACACTGTGGTCATAAGGTCCGGCCAGGTCAAGATCCGCAATTGCAATCGCACCAAACAGGAAAAAGAACATCGACAAATTCCGGTTCGTCAAATTAAAATATAGCAGCAACAGATCGGTGACTAGAAATTATAGCACAATTCTTATATATACAAAAAAAAACTAACACCGTTTATTTAAATGATTGGATCCAAACTATTGGTTATTCACCAACGAGGAAGCAGATTTCTCATCTCCATCAAAATATTTATTTTATACCAAGGGACTTAAACTTTAATCAAATCCATTCAAAAGAAACTTCTTATTACAGGAATGAAAAGAGATGTTTGGGAGAAGAGAACAAGTTAATTCAAAAAAAGCAGTTTTGAATTATCCTTATCCCCGTTACAAAAATCTACAAAAATATATATATATATATATTTGGGCAGAAACTGAACATATGCTGGATGATGGTGGGATTTTTTTAATATGTCATATTAAATTAAGCGCTCACAGGGTTCATACAGGAATGAGTGACTCTAATTTAATGCTATTTGAAATGATTTTAATGCCATCAACAAGAACCATGTACACAAGTTATTAGTGTACATGAAATATGAAGGAGCTGCAAGCACAGTTCCATGACTCCTGTATGTATGTAAACACACACACACACATATACGTATATATATATCCTCTAGCTTTTTCTCTGCCTGGAGCGATATAATATATCTGACGAAATTGTTTTTATAAGCATTTTTTATTAAAGAATTATAAATACTTCGATAAAAATATTTAAATAATTTTAGTGCCAATTAAGGCCTTGATTTCAAAAAAAAAAAAGAATGATTTTTAAATTATTTTTATTGATCCGCGGACACCCTGGTTCATCTCGCGCATGCTCTGTATGATCTCCAAGAAACTCAGAGCGGCGGGGCTGGATCCACAGTGGAGGATGGATGCTTTGCTTTGTGCAGACGGTCTGGAGCATAGATATCCATAATAAAGGCTAGATGTCTTACGGCAGAGTCTCAAACGTCATCACCGGCGGCCATCTTACCTCAGGCAGTGCTCTGTGGTACCTAATGTAAGGTGAGTGATCAGCACGAACACAAATACTCTTATCTCACTGAATTCTTGACGGATTTACAAACAGTTTGGTTTCTTACAAACATTATGAACGTTGCTATAATTCTAGATGCTTGAACATGTCGAAATTGCAGATTTTCTTGTCGAAAAATGACTTAATCATGCAGCATAGTAGTGCATCACGGCTACTTGCGCAAGTTATCAAGGCTGAGACTATTAGTCAATTATATAGGTTTTACTGACACCAATAACGATTGTATGACAATTAATCTTTGGTGTAAATTACAATCTTTGTGGATGTGGTTGTAGTTATTAGTTGGCTAATAACAATAATCTGAGTGTTGTTGTATTTTCATTATTAGCCTAACGTTAGCTGGCTAATAACAAGAAGCTGCAAAGTGAGACCTAACGTTAGTAAGTTAGCAGCTAACGTTACAGTTTAGCTAGCTGCTAACGTTAACCAGCAACTTTACATCAGTGGAAGAGGCAGAATTTAACATGATTTCCAATTGATTTGGTCTGTCAACACATCTTACATTATGTTACAGGAATTTGCTGGGTTTATTAAAAGGAAGATGCCAGACTTTTGCTATGACATAATAGTATTACAAGATTGTTGTTGACTCAAAGCTTTTATAAGTTTGTATTAGTTTCATTTGGACAACTTAAAGATAGTGTTGTGCCAAACATTTTCAACTTTCCAGCTCATCTTCAAAGGGCATGTGTATCATTGAAATTTAATCACATATCGATATACCAATCTTATACACTGTGAATTGTTGTTGGTCACTTTTGTTTTTGTTTCTGCAGGTTATATAATGTGTAAGCAGGAGGAGAAGATCTTCCATCCCCGTTTGCTGACATTCCTGCGCTAGTACATGACCACAGCTACCTTCCTGTCCGCTTTGATGGCCTTGTGGACAACGCTCTCTTGTACATTACACAGAAGCTCAATAAAACCTTCCTTTTCAAAGGGCATTAGCCAAGCTATGTTTTTTGGGTCATTTTTTAAATCTCTGTCTTCCATGTGTATACCATCACAGTAGTGTAGGTGGGGATTTCAACATGCTACATCTATATATACTTGTGAAGGGGACTATTGTACCAATTTTAATAGCAAATAAATGTCACTTTTATAATGGTTTAAAAATAGGAACTTTTGTGTAATTACCCCTGATATATAATCCGAATAGTCTACATGATACTTCAAAGTGTTACCTTTAATTTGAAACCTGGATTATGCTGCTACACCAAGAGGTTGCCACACAATAAGCCTTTTTTGTCAGTATTCCATATTTTATTATAACAATAATATTCATTTTATAAAAGTATGTATGTAAATATAAATAAATTAGGACTGTGAAATAATTAATCACACCCAAATAAAAGTGTTTATTTATTTATATATATATATATATATATATATATATATATATATATATATATATATATATATATATATATATATATATATATATATATATATATATATATATTATATATATATATATATATATATGTATATATACATATTTATATATATATATATACATAATTTTATTTATATATATACATATTTATATATATAGGTATCTATATCTATATAGATATCTATAGATATATCTATATATCATGTTGCCATTCAGTACACTGAGTTTTAATAGCATATATTGATTTAACATAAATACCTTGTGCATGTGTATATTTATTGCACCTGTATGTTCTATTCAATGTTCTTTTCATATGAAATTCCATGGTTATAATTATTCATAAGTGTGCAGTATCATAACTACATGTCTGACTTTTGTTTAACAAACCAAACAATTAGACAGTTCAGGAAGTTATGGTTATTTAAGTACATGCGCCTTTAAAACACAATGTTACGAATGAGCGAGCTGCCTGTGGCAAGATGGCCGCCACGTGCGGACGTCGACCCCCATTGGCCAGCAGCGCGGACGAGACATCTAGCCTTTATTATGGATATCTATGGTCTGGAGCGTCTGGATTTCGGGGTAAAACTCCTCTTGGACGCGATGGCGACTCTGCATCGAACAAGACGAACTCAAAGAAGAGATGCTAGCGGTAAATATATGTTCGATTACTGCCTGCTAAGCTAAAAGCAGCCTAACCAAAGCTACGGCTAATAGCGGCTAATAGTAGCCTTGCAAGAACAAGCTTTATTAAAGTGTATTTTTTGTGATTCACAGGAAGCAGTATGCCGTCTTAACAACTCGGAGACTAATTGCAGGCGCTATGAACCGGAGCAAGGGTAAGATTTAAAGAATATGCTTTCATTCTGCGGGAAAAGGCAATGGATACGGATGGTTACCGATCATAGTTGTACATTTTGTTTTCACAGACCACCTATTTGCTCGGAGCCATAATCAGCAAGTCCAGATTTGCACGATGTTGATAAAGACCACATTGTGTGTAAGTGACTTGTTTTAATGTTTTCTCCTTCCTTGTTACTGTGACTTGCGTTTGATTTTTTTATTCATACCACTCTCATTTAATTGTTTTCCAGCTGCCTGTAAGACGTATTTTCAGACGGTACGCAGGAGCTTCAGATATACGCTGCCAGCCAACACGCTGCGGAGGCAATCTGCTCGGAGTCGGGCCAGAAGAAAGAGGGTAAGACTTTATTTGGTGACTATTTTTCAGGTGCATTGATATATGTGTTGTGTCCATACGCAGTGCGCTGATTCATTGTTTTTTTTTTTTTCAGCTGCTGAAAGCGAGGCAGAGTGTGCTAGCAGATGAGGAAGTGGAACTCTGGAAGTCCGCCTTCCTCGGCGGTGTCTCTGGATGGATTGTACGGTCGCCGCCATTTCGTAGGCCGGATCTCACTGAACTCTGTGTTAAGCTGCAGTCCCGGTTAGAAGCGATGCCGAAGTACAGGGCCACGCACAGTAGGCGTCTGCACATCGGACCTGCCTCGGAGGGAATGCTGCCCGTTACCTCCAACCCCGAGGAAGCAAACGGACCGTTCACGGAGTTTTAATTTTTAGAAACGCATGTGTTTGGATACGCATTGTATATAGTTGTGTGTGTTTTAATAACGCTCTTTCTTTGCATAAACAGCTTCCTGGCAAATGTTCATTTCCTGTATAAATTCATTCATGTCCTTGATGGTAGCATAATAATTGTGTAGTAGTGTAGGATAACATAAATACATACCATATGAATGAATAAATATATGAATGAATAAATATATATAAATATATATATATATGAATAAATATATATATGTAAATTTATATGTAAATATATATATATGCCAACCAATCACGAGCGACTTTACTTGTTTAAAAAGAAGTGGTTCCGTCCAATACTCAGTAAGAAAATTAAAGCCTGGCGTGGCCACGTGTGGTTTTGCTGCCAATCACGAGCGATTTTACTTGTTTGAGAATAGTGGTTTCAGCCAATACTGAGAAGGTTATTCAAGCCAGACCTGACCAGCCGCGCGGGTTTGCTGCATTCATATGCTAATTAGGGCCATTAGTACAGCTGATCGCTCTCCACATACGTCATGGTACGTTTCCGACAATTTGTGGCACGACAAACGCGGACAAGCACGGGTTGCAAATTGTCGGAAACTGACGAAAATCAGGCAGATCTGCGGGAGTTTACGGGGGTTTACGGGGACGAAAATCTCACTTTTCATGCAGTGTTTGGGTCAGAACTTTGGATCAGCTGTGAACTCTTGGATTCCTGGACTGTTCTGGCCTGCTGTTTTCCCCACACCTGGATTGGCCTCCTGTATATTCTCTGAGGCTGCAGCATCTGGGACACTCTGGGCAGCGCCATCCCATCGGCTGGATCTCACCTCTTTAAAAGAAGATGGACTGAACTGTCAAACCAGGTAAGTGGCTCACTCTGATAATCACCTCTTGTCAGATGATTGCGGTCACTTACCTGTGTTTCTTTCCTCCAGAGAGTGTCAGTGAATGGGCTGTGCCCTTCCCATGCTGCAGCCGCCGTGAGTCAAAGATCCACAGCAGCGTCCTTCTGTTCTTTCTGTTTATGTTTTTATTTTAATAAACATTTTGAACTTTCCTACTGACTGTCTCACCTTGAATACTGGGTCCATCTGCCCCACTTTATGACAAGTTGCCTGTACAGTTAAATAAAAAAAAAATATTCTACTTTTACTTGTAGTAGTTTAAGCTAACTTTAAAATGATTAAGGCTTCAAACAGAAGTTCAAGTCACCTTTCAGCCACCCATAGAAGTTGCCTTTCACAACATCTTCTTCCTTCTCCCTCTTTTGTTTCCTGTCATGAGCTTCTTACAGCTTCCTTTTATAAGAATCCATCTTTAGCACAAGACATGTAAAAACATGGTCCAGCTCAAACAGTTGCGCACACTCGAGGGAGTGCATGCTGGATCATCCTGAGGAAGGCAGATAGAGGTTGAAAGACGGAGAAGTGGGGTGTGTGTGTTAGTGTGTAATGTGACAGGCACCTCTTACATTTTGTATTGGTGCCTGCCATAGCAATGCATAGCATTGCTTCACAATGGCATCCTATGCCCCAAGCAATGCATGGAGACATATATTGTTGCCAAAAGAACTCACTCTTTGTTTATCAAGTGAAAATGCATTAAAGGAAAACGCCGTTTTTTTTACATTGGGCCCTTGATTTTACGTTATTACATCATGTTCTACTGACTCATATGATTTTTTTGTCATTTTGAGCTGTTCTGAAGATATTCGGTTAGGTTATATCCAAGTAACGTCTTCCTATGGGCAAACGATTTGAAGGCACAAACTAAACTGTTCTTCCTATGTAGGTTATCTTTGAGTCGCAAGACCCTAGGAACGGCTGTGCTTGCATCTAACTCTCTTTGCGACATAAGACAGGATATTTAGCCTCATGACCAAAGATTTCTAAACAGTTTCTAAACAGCTGTGGTATTTTGTCTGTGACAGCCAAAGAATTGCAGTGTGTACCTAGCATTAAGGGCTGAAGAGTTGACAAGAAGACGTCACTGGTTGTTGTGCAGGTGAGAAGCAGGTTGTTACAAAAGGAGCCTTCTCATACAGACACCCCTCTGGAGGATATAAGTCACAAAATGAGTCCAATACGGGTATTGCACTTTCTATAAGTTTTATAGGAGCCCCATCTGGAGGCCTTTAAAAGCTCAATGTGGAGGTTGTAAGTTGGCACTTTGGAAATAATACAGAAGCCATCTGGATGTTTTACAGTAGTGGTCTGTATATGATTACATCATCCTCACAAAGGAGGTCATAAATGAGCTAAAGGCTAAGTAGGGGAGGGAGGTTCAATACAATCAATTATTGAAGGATTTCAACAATCACAAACCATGAAAGGCACAAACAATACCGCAAAACAAAACAAAAACTGACTATGAGGGACTTTTGAGGATGTGGCATTCAGAGAGAAACATGCCCAGCAGAAGATCGTTTTATGGACTTAAGGTTCCCTTTAGAACAGAACATGGCACTGAAATGGATATCTTTATTACTTTCACTGGTTTCAATTAGGATTGAGCTGATGTTTCTTGTCTGTGGTCTGTTGTTCCTGACTAAAAAGAGAACAAGTTGGTTCTCTAGAAACTGGTACTATTTTTTGTCTTTATACTGATAACCATGCATCCCGTGGGAGATGAGTACTTTCGCCGATGATGTTGTAAAACCTTCCATGATTTTCTCAGTGTTAGCAGCTAGCTTGAGGATAGGAAAAATGTGACTTGTTTTGTCAGTGAACAGGTTAACAAGCTGCTGGTGTGGATGAAAGCAGGTGCTGAAAGCCTCCTATCCTCATTGTTAACCCTTTCAAAGAGGCTTTGTGTATGTGTCATACAACCATAGGCTGAGTCTGCACTATAATAAACAAAGCCATCAACCTCACTCAGGTGTATAAAAGCTGGTAACTCACAGGTATGACTGCATTGAGCCTCCTCCAGCTGCACACCGACAACATGGCCCCCACTGACATGAACATGATGAGCAGGGTAAGTCCACACAGGTGTCAGCCCTAGTAATTTTTTAGGTTTTAGGGTTGATAAGAGCACCAATGATTCTAGATCAGTCCAAAAATATTGTTAAAATATATTCTAAAATCTTAAATGTGAAAAAATACAGACCAGTGTCTCTGTACCAAAAAATCTGGTTGAGCAAAACCATTAAGCCAGATTTGTGTCAGTAGTTTGTATTACACTATTCCAATCAATAGTTTTAATGATTGTTTCCCAAGATTTGTTATTGACAAAATTTATTATGAGACATTTCCTGTGTTTCTCAGGATAAAGTCGTTATTTTCCCTATAGAAAGAGCTAAACTATATACACAGTCGAATCTTTTGGTCCAGAAACTGCATTACATAAAGTCAGCAGAAACAATTTCATTTCAGTAAATTGGAGCGGCATCTTAAGTTTAGACAACCTTAACTTTGCCTAATTTCTGCTCAGATCACCTTCTACGAGGACAGGAACTTCCAGGGACGTTCCTATGACTGCAGCAGTGACTGTGCCGATTTGTCCACCTACCTGAGCAGGTGTCACTCCTGCAGAGTGGAGAGAGGTTGTGTCATGGTCTACGATCGCACCAACTACATGGGTAACCAGTTCTTCATGAGGAGGGGAGAGTACGCCGACTACATGAGCATGATGGGAATGAGCGATGGCATCAGGTCCTGCCGTATGATCCCTATGGTAACCATGCATTTTACCAACATACACTATCCTCAAACTAATGAATTGGACTAATCTCATATTAAAGCGATCTTGGTTAGAATTAGACAACTTCCTGATCTTTAACTGAACACTGTACAAACATAAACTGATAGATTATTATCTGTATCTTCTAGTACCGTGGCTCCTACAGGATGAGGATCTATGAGAGGGAGAACTTTGGAGGCCAGATGTATGAGCTGATGGACGACTGTGACAACATCATGGATCGTTACCGCATGTCCAGCTGCATGTCCTGTCACGTGATGGATGGACACTGGCTGATGTACGAGCACCCCCACTATAGAGGCAGGATGATGTACATGAGGCCTGGAGAGTACAGGAACTTCATGAACATGGGCATGAGCAACATGAGGTTCATGAGCATGAGGCGCATCATGGACTCCTACTACTGAAAAAATTCACAAAACAAAGCTGAGAAACATTAAAGATCTGTTAGTTTCTTTAAAAATGTGTCTGTTTTTCTTTAATATGTGTACTTAACATGATTTAGCCAAGAAGGGGTCAATATAACAAACATGATTTATTCAGAAACACCTGCCAACCTATTTTTTTAAACATAGCTGTTCAGTCAAAGCAGATCATCAAATAATATCCTGTACTGTCTAAATATACAACTCCAGAAACATTTCAAGACATATTTAGCAAATCACGGGAGTAAAACTAATAGTTCTTTCACAGTAATTCTTATAATGTAATAAAGATCTATAGTTACTTCAAACATTACAGGACCAGATAATTTTGTGCTGCACAAAATAAATGAAAAAGTATTTTTATCATTATCTTTCAGGCATCCTGAAAATTAAGAAATTCAGGAGAAGAGATAAAGCCTGACTTAGCCGGGTCCTTTGTTTCATTGTGAAAGCCATCAGCTATCATGCTTGGACATTGCTTGTGGTGTCCCCCAGGGGTCAGCATTTGAACAGACACTGTTTATTCACTAAATTATTGAAATATGTAAAGTCTAAAAAGTATTTAAGTTTGTTTTGTTTCCAGATGCTGAAAAATATTTTCTGCATGAATAGGTGCCTACAGCACCGATTATATGATATCATACTAGAAAAGAATGAGGTATGAATGAGCTAAAAAAAACAAAAAAACAAAACAAAAAAAAGTCTGAAAAAAAGTTAATTTTACTAAGTAATGAAAAAGGAAATGTAGATAGGAAAATCTAAATAGATGGGGTAAACGTGGGACAAGTGTGATTTTTGACTGCATGATCTGCCGAAAACCTCATATAATGTTCAGTATGAAGTATAAGCATGGAAATTTTTAGTACATTAAAAAATGTTCTGAATTACCATACCTAGCCTATTGTTTATGAGGGAACACTCAAACCATCATGCTCAAAACAGAAAAGAGTCATCAGGGTCATTCATATGGCTGGCTAAATGGAACATATTAATTCATTAAACATTCATTCCTGCTTGCTAAAATTCTCTGATCTAATAAATATAAACTAATTCATTTGCACACTTAATGGACTCTTACAGTAGTATGGACTCATAAGTTAAGTAGGAATTGGGGAGATTATTGGTGTTAAGGACCAAATAAAAGGAGAAAGGGTATGATTATATGTTATATGTGTAATGCTTTACATGTGTTAAATTTGTAATTTCATTGGATTGTCTGAAATAAAGGTATTTATTTATTTGCATGTGGTCACTGCAGCCACTGTTATAAGGTAAATGTCTAAAAACAGTGTTCTATATTTTATTCTGACTTCCTAGTTTGAAGGGAACACACCATGACACCATCTCACTTAGAAATTGGCCCCTGTACACTTGGAAATTAAAGCATTAATTAATAGTTTTTCTAGATTAATGTTTTTTTGTTTTTTTTACTTGCTCTTGATGGAGAACTCCTTTTTTTCTAAGGTTTGTGTTATGTCTTCTTTTTGAAGCCTGTTTACTAAACTATAAATTATGGATCTGGTCAGCTGGTCCCTCAGTGCAATTGATCAAATTCTCTCGACGGGAAGACAGGATAAGGGGGAACCCTACTGTCCTGACAGGACATTTTTCTCTGGATGGATTCCTGGCAGAAATGAAAGATTGTCTGTCTGACGGTCAGTCTTGGGCAAGTTACTTAAAAAAAAAAATCATTATTGTTACTAGTTACTTCTCAAAAAACAAAACAAAAAAACAACTGCGTTAGTAACACAGTTATTGCTGTAAAAGTAAGTCATTACTAGCCAAAGTAAGTATCCAGTTATTTTCTATGGTCTAAAGTGTCCAAGAATTAGTAAAGCCTTTCTGTTAAGCTCAGGTCTGGCAGAGAGGACCAGGAATCTGTCTTTTTGGATTTGCGATTCTGAGTCAACTTGGGCATGCCCCTCAGTGTTTTTCAACATTGCCCTATTTGATGGATGTTTCTAAGACTTGTCATGAGCGAAGTTATACTTTCACATTGGGTTTAGTTAGAATTATTATTATTGACACTTAATGCATCTGGAAAATTCTATCTTATAAAAAGGGAAGATATATATTGGTATAAAACATATAGCAATGATTGTGTTTAATTCTTCATTTTGTTATCATTGCCTAGATCATTATTACTAAAAAAAACAAAACAAAAAAAACCTTAGAATGTTAAAAATAGCGTGGAAACGTGCTTTATCAATTGCTTTACCCCATGTCTGCTTCTGATTGACTGACCAGCACATAGAAATATTAAGAACCCAGAGTTAAGCCTAATTAGGACTGATCAACTGTCAGATTTGGCTGTGATAAATGCTTGCATCATAAGCTCATCTAATCTGTTTGTTTGTGTTGTACAACGCTGCGCAAAATAAAAACTTTTTCAAAACGTCCTTGACATAAACCCAGTTAAGCATAGTAATGCCCCTTAATTCTTTCGGTGTGGGGACCATCTTGGTATTACGAGGAGCATGTCCTATGAAGTGAATGACTCGATAGAATCAGCTGGTTTTTCTTAGAAAACTTTTTACAAGTCAGACTGTATGATCTGATTGAATGGGCTCTGTAAAGGGCCTTGAGAGGACATGTGGTGAATTGTTGCTATATAAATAAACTGAATTTAATTGAATATTGTAGGGCAGACCTTTCACCTCAGATCAAGGCCCATGTCCAAAGCTCAATCCAAATAGAAGATCAGTAAAGACAATTAAGCAAAGTGAATGTACGTCAAAATTTGTCATTATCTTCGCGACCACTGATGGTCTGAATAGTGCTGCTGTCCAAATAATGATGACAGAAGGTAGGGAAATGAATCTGAATTTGTTCTATCAATAGTTCATATAGCATAGGGACTTCACAACCTTCATATCCGCTACTTACTTACAGTTTCTCCTAATTCTTTGGGTAACGTATAGGCACAGCCCAACTGACATAGTTAAACATAAAAAAACATTATTACTTTTCAAAAACTTTGCGGCACATGTTAATGTGTACATCTTTGTTTTTCTCTTTGTTTTTGGAAAATCTTCTACTATAAACTGTATTTTTTTCATGCTAAGATTTCCAGGGTAGTTGAGAACACAAGGGGCAGATTCCTTGTGGGGGAGGGGTGGGGGGGGGGGGGGGGAATATTGAAGAATATTGAATTTATATACAAATTATGTGGAATTATAACATGTTTGTGTCTTGAGCTAAACACATAACAAAGTGAAGACTCACTGATTCATTTTTCTTCCTTTACTAAAAGTGGCTTTACGGACAAACAATAGAATATGTGTAATAATTTCATTGGTTTTTTTCTCCAGATGTTTGTTCCAGAAAGTTTTTTTTTCCCACAATTGAGCGAAGGAAACACACAGCTGTTGTTCATGGCCTTTTTGTTGTATTTTCTAAGAGAAATGCCGAATGCTGAGCATCTCTTTTTTTATACACTGCTGGCTCAGGCTGTTAGAACAAAAGGCTTCAGCTGCTCAGGTGCTATAAAGAGCCGCTGCCGCTCGCTCCACAGGTAGCATTATCACTCAGTGCAGGACCTCCAGCAGCAAACAGCTCAACATTCTGACCGACAAAATGAAGTCCAGCAACATGAACATGATGAGCAAGGTAGGATTGGGCACCCCTCCCATCTAATGCACATATATCTGCAACTTTAACAATTTTAAGACATATAGCATCCCTCTAAGCTGTTCTAAAAATGTTTAACAAACTTTTATTTTATTTGTGGGTTTTTTCTGAAAACTAATTAGGTGATAAACAGAAAATGTGCCCATTTGACAGTATAACCAATAAACAAAGTAATCTACAACATGTTCTAATATTTAGAATGTTTCCCTCTTTCAGATCATCTTCTATGAGGACAGGAACTTCCAGGGACGTTCCTACCAGTGTGACAGCGACTGTGCTGACATGTCCTCCTTCCTGAGCAGGTGTCACTCCTGTAGGGTCGAGAGAGGCTGTGTCATGGTCTACGACCGCACCAACTACATGGGTAACCAGTACTTCATGAAGAGGGGGGAGTACGCCGACTACATGAGCATGATGGGAATGAGCGATGGCATCAGGTCCTGCCGCATGATCCCCATGGTAAGTAGCCACTCATAAAACAGCATCATATCTTCCTCATGGTAACGAGACATATATGTTACAATATTGCCGTGTGCATGGGTGAACAGCCACATTATAGCACCTTATTCTGCCAATGGTAAAGGGCTACTTATAACATTACTCTGTGGTAACCAGCTTATTAGGTTAAAGTACTAACACATCCAAGATTTCACTTTATATCAGTTATATTATCTGCAGTCCATGTTAAGAACTTACATTACATCACTCAACATTTTCACCATAGCCAGCCAGTAACATTAAAGTTATCTCTGTGATACCCTTAAATCGCAATGGGAGCCATTCACAAACAAGGTCCATTTCATCTCAAGTCAAATTCGAGTGCAACAGCTATTCCAAGACAGCCAATCACATAACAACAATCAATATCTCCATGGTAACCAGGTCCATTATAAAATACAACTCCCCTGTAATCAGTATAAAAAAGCTTGTGTCCTTAGTAACAAATTAGACATACAGGTTTCTTCATCAGTTTCTGAGTGTCTCCATGTATATGGCTTAAGGTATCTACTTGCTGATGTGTGGCTAAACACTACACAGATTAACTGAAAAATTGTTGATTATCTGTATCTTCTAGTACCGTGGCTCCTACAGGATGAGGATCTATGAGAGGGAGAACTTTGGAGGCCAGATGTATGAGCTGATGGACGACTGTGACAACATCATGGATCGTTACCGCATGTCCAGCTGCATGTCCTGCCACGTGATGGATGGACACTGGCTGATGTACGAGCACCCCCACTATAGAGGCAGGATGATGTACATGAGGCCTGGAGAGTACAGGAACTTTATGAACATGGGCATGAGCAACATGAGGTTCATGAGCATGAGGCGCATCATGGACTCCTACTATTAAAGACCCTAAAGTGTATATTTCATTATTTCAATAAAAGTATGGTATTTTAAAGTCTGTTAAACTTTCAGATTCGTTTTTTCTTTCTAGAACTTTCTTTTTAGAATTTCATAAGAACATTTTTTTACATAAAACAGCTGTTTAACACCATCATGTTAGGCGAGTGTTGGCCTAAAGGTTGGAGAGTGCGCTGGTGCTCTGAGAAGGTTGCAAGTATCCGGTTCGATCCCTACAGCCTCCACTCTGGGTTCCTGAGCAAGACCCTTAACCCCCTTTTGCTCCCCAGGTGCCGCACAGTGGCAGCCCACTGCTCCCCAAGGGGACGGGTTAAGATGCAGAAGTGAATTTCTCCATTGTGAAATCCAAGATGTTCAATTATTATTATGTTGAACTGGTTGACTTTTGACTTTTATGCATAAACAGTGGTTTGATCTATTTTTTGTTGTTTTGTTTTTTTTATCATTTTGACTTCCGTCATTAGTTTAAACACACACAATGGCCAACACAACATGTTACACAGAGTTAGGTAAAAATAACAAATTAATTCATATTTATATGAAAATTAGTTGTCTCAGGCTGTGTCCTAATGTCTGCCCTAACCCCTGAATGCCACAATCACTATATATAGTGGGAAATATATAGTATATAGTGAACTCAGTTCATTTACTGTTCTATCACTGCTTTTCAGTCCCTGTTGGTCACATGACTCTGCCTCCCTGCGTGATGCATGCGGCATTTTTGTTATTTGTAGCTGATGTCGGGTAGCGACAGCGGGTGTGACAACAAATCCCATAATGGTTTATAAGTGGGTTTTAAATAAAATGATATTGTTTTGAAACTTAACTCTAATTTTTACCCAGATTTACCAATTAAAGGATAAAGGTATTAAATAAGCCAAACATCAGTGTTTCAATTATAGCTGAATAAGTTACATGTGTAGCATCAATCCAGTATTTTAACGCAGAGGTAAGTTCAATACCTGGGACATGGGAAAAAGCCACCTTCTCCAAAAGAGGGTTGTCAGACCACCCTATTGTCAGACAGCTGACAAGGCGAGTTGGCGCAGAGAAACACCAAGCCTCTTTTTTAAATTAAGTGATATCCTAATAAACCACATAGATATTTGAGTTTAACAAACCTGTATTCTTGCCTCAAATCAACTGAAAATGTAGTTTGTGTTATAGACAGCTTTTTATCTAAGTTTATATTCTCAATTTCTGTCATAATTGTCCGGCATTATTACAAAAGCTTGATCAATCTTTTTCTATCAACACCTGATTATGGTAAATGTTTGGCCTCAAAGGATATGCAGTCGAAAAGTTTCCTCATTTGTTTAAGTGCATGTGCACTGTACTTTGATGTGTAACAATGATCATACATTGTCCATGAAGAGATGCATTCTCCAGACCATATGCATTCGTGCTCTAAATGCATGCCTAGGTCACAAGGTCCTACTTTGTACTGGTCAGCCTCTTTCTCTGGCATTGGAGTTCTGTTCCTGCGGAGAACAGTAGATACAGAGTGATTCATAGGTAAGCTTTGCTTCTTCAAAAATCTGATAAGACCGAATGAGATGGAGTTGTGGTTTTTCTAGAATACACCTCCCTTTTTTATTGTGCCCACTGGGATGTATAAATGTTTGTGAAACCCTCCCCCCTGGGAGCCTGTTTTCACTCTGCAATAAGAGACAGAGTCTTCAAATGCTTTATTTATACATTTGAATACATTTGTAAGGACAAAAAAATCCATCTTTCTTTATTTTACTGAGTGGTATTCCCTCTGTCTTTGATAAAGAAAAATCCACAAAAGGTACTCCAGATGCATCCTTTAAATCAGCCGAAGAGAGTAAGCATTTGTTGGATGGATTAGAAAGTGCTCAGAGGATTCATCGATTGGGACCGCCTGTGGGCACATTGTCATTGGTCCACAAATGCGGTCTCTGCAGGGTTCAGCCCAATGAATTTGGATACACCCATAATTTGTCTTTTTCAAACATAAAATGCTGCACTGTTTTGGAGACCCTAAGAACTACTACATGATTGCTGGTGAAGATTCTCATTCATCCAAGTCAAAGTCATTCCAAAAAAGTAAAAAAAAAAACAATCCACTGGACTTTGTTTCCAAGTTTAAAGATGCTTTTGCTTCCCATCCATGAAGCAATTCAATTCAAAATGTCAGAATCAGGGTTGAGTTTTTTTTTGTTTAGAAAACATGCACATTGGTAAGATTGATTCAGCAGCCAAGTAGAAAACACAGGCTATACATACTGTAGCAAGGAAGTAGTTCTGGACCATGACCTTAAGGTTTAAAAAGAAAAACTTGACTAAGATGCTGTTCATGGAAAGGAGCAATTGTTTAAAGGGAATGTTACTTTTATCCCAGCTTACAAATAATAAACAATTTTGGTTAATGTTAGAGTGAAGATTTTTCTCCTTTAAACATGGAATAGACATTAGCTTTTATATCTCAACCAACGGAACTAAACAATGGGGGAGGGTTAGCCAACTGGTTAGAGAAGCTTGCTCGTGCTCTGGTAAGGTTGCAAGTACCCAGTTCGATCCCCACAGCCCACCTCAACCCCACACAATGGCATCCCACTGCTCCCCAAGGGGTCAAACAGAGAACGAATTTCCCAATTGTGAGACAATAAAGGGATTTACATTTATTAATATCTGTAGCTCATTTTCCACATTATCTGTTATTAACAACAAACTGAAAGCTAAATTTAGACCAGAAATGCTACAACTTAAAAGATTTTGACTCCATTAACACATCCATTAACTATTTACAGCTCTTATCATTACTGCGCAAGGGGTGGTGTACAGCGTGGATAGGTTAACAATCAACCACAAGGCAACACAGAGACATAGGGTATACTGTTAAACATACATTAAGATGTGTAAGTATTAGTGCACGCATATTACAGTATGAATTTTCAGTATGTTTTTATTAAATCTTTTTATTTATAAAGTTTCTTTTCATAGGGACAGAGACACAAAAATAGACAAACTGAATAAAGAAGAAGTCCTATGCATGTGTCATGGTGTTTATAGTGCAAATGTTCAGCACTTGTCCCGAGATTGGCTTTTATACAAAGTACATATAAAAACTATGAACTTAAATGATATTTCAAAATAATAAAACATGATATAGAAAACAATCATACATATAAACCAAACAAAAAAAATGACAGGAAAAAAGAAACCAAAGTGGTTCTTCATAAGCAGAACTTTCCGTGTCCTTTAAACCACTCAGGTAGAACTGTTCTTGTTTTGCAGTTCTTGCATACAATTACTTAATGGTCTCCCTCTACTTAGGGAGATCGGTTTACCTAAGAGTACCTGTAGAGAACAGAAACATGCATGGTGAGAGCATGAAAACTCCAAGGCCGGGATTCAAACCCGAACCTTCTTCCTGCCAAAGCTACTGCAGTACCACAAAGTCATAGAGATTTAATAATATTTTATTCTGACTGATCTAGATGTTTGTTGATAAAATAACATAAAACCTCACAGAATAGTAAGGAAAGAGGAAAATAAAGATGTTGTAAAGATTACAGTTTTAGTAACTTTGGCCCGCAGCAGCACCCTGGGGGCTACACATGAAGGGTGAAAATCTTTACACAAAAAATCTATGAGAATTTTCATATTCATGTTATTAATGTCTATTTTTTTAAACAGCATTAAAATTAGAGAAATGTATATTCGGTAAAGATGAAGGGTTAATAGACTTTTTTAATGTCAAAATAAAACTGCAGTTTATTCTTGTTTCTTTAGGATCAATACAAATATCTCCACAGAAACCCCCTCTTGACCAGTGGTTGTGGAGACAACAGGTTTATGTCTGACTGGTTACTACATTTCAAGAGAGAAGTTCAGGTTAGCTGAGAGTTAGTCTAATGCTAACTATTGTGCTGATTAGTTCTTTAGTCTACAACATACAGAAACAAGATTATGCAAGAAGGTTCTGTGAACGTGGAGTCATTTAATTTCCTGCACACATTGTTAATAACATTATCACCTGAACCTGGATCAGGGGGATTCTAATCAGAACAGTAACCCTGAGGGAACAAATGCTTCAGGTGAAAAATATCCAGATTCTGAAACCAGTGATCAATGGGAAGACACCAACACATCTGTGGTTTCTCCCACAGCCTGGTCTGGAGTTTCATCAGCTCTATTTTGCACCTGGTGTTTCCTGAAGGCTCTTTGGATCACTGCTGCTGCCACTTGTTCCTGTTTTCTCTTCAGGGTGCTGCTGACTGGTTCACGAGACACCTGCAGAGCAGAAGGGGGGTGAAGATTTAGAATACACTAATAAAAGATCAGTTTATCATGCCGAATGCACAACTGTCAAACTCATAGTGACGTGATAACATTGGCCTAGAGTTCCAAGAAACTGCAACCCAACAAGCATTTTCAACTTTTCTGGAGCAGCTCAGACAACTTAACCAGCCTATATTTTGGTTACTTAAGGAGGTAATAAATGTGAGGTTGTCCTGATTTATATATCACCAGAAAATTATATTTTGGATCAAGTTTTAAATTTTTTTGAACTTTAACGGAATGATCAAGTTTTAATTTTGTTCATTTTTTTCATTGTTGTTTTTTGTGTAGTATGAAAATAATATCAAACATTCAGGTGTGAAATTAAATTGTTCTGATTGGTACCGGTCCATCCATCCGTCCGTCCGTCCATCCATCCATCCATCCATCCATCCATCCATCCATCCATCCATCCATCCATCCATCCATCCATCCATCCATCCATCCATCCATCCATCCATCCATCCATATCTACTGTGTAATTCCCATATATATACTGTATAATTCACACTAAATGTAAAATACCATATTGAAACATATTTGAATAGAATAGAATAGAACCTTTTCTGCGTTGTTGAACTTTTCTTTCAGTCTGGCTTGAAGAGCTTCAGTCTCTGCTGATTCACCAAATGCCTACGCAAACAATGAATATAATAATAATCCTCATAACAATTATAAAACAGAGTTTATTCAAGTCCGACAGTGTTACCTGTGTCATGAGTGCTCGTAGAACGTCAAAGCAGCAGATCTGGTCTCCTGCAAGAAGAGGCAGATCCATGTGGTTCAGTTGGATACTGTTTGGTTTGGGTATCCTCAGTGGAGCCGGAAGAGCATCGCAAAAATCAGACAGCTCACTGCGGAAAACAAGAGTTGGTCAGAATCCAACAGACAGTACCAGTGTCTGTATGTTTCCAGACTTTGCTTCTAAGGGTGTGGTTTTCCACAGCAAAATCAGAAGGAAACTCACGTGTACTGTATAACCTGTAAGGCATTAGGATCAAACTTCCTCCAGGTTTTGTAAAACATTTGCAGTAAATTAGAGTCCTCAGATTTGATGCTGTTGAAGCTTTCCATGACAACTGCAATGAAGAGGTGGATAACAAGCAGCAGGTACAGCAGCATGTAGGATGAGAAAAAGAAAATGCCTGTGTATGGGCGGCCAAAGTCTGAAGATGAGTCAGGTGTCTTCAAGTCACATTCTACAAGCTCTTCCATGATGGAATACAGAAAACGGTTCCAATGAGAGGAGGTTGTGACGGTAATCATACTGATCATGCTGTTCCCAAATGTGTCAAAGTTGTAAAGCCAAGACTCCATCTCCACAGTGCAAAAAGTACACATCCCAACGAAGGAATAGGTGTACACCACAAGGAAGATGACTAGGCCAATGTTGAGGAGGGCAGGAATAGACATTATAAAGCCAATGATCAGCTTCTGCAACCGTTTGGTCCAGGGGATCAATGGGAGAACTCTGCTGATTCGAAGCAGTCGAAGAATAAAGATATCTATTATGAGATACTTCTCAAAGATATCATGAAAGAAGAATCCTAGAAAAACACACAATAATTAAAACAGATAGCTCTACTGAAACTGCAAATGTATATTTAAAGAGTTTTAATACCTAATTAATATTCATTATTTCATTTTTATCTATTTCAAGGTTTGAGGATTTTCCTTTGGAGTAAAAATTTGTGATGGTGATCTACCCTGGTAACATGAAGAGCGGTTTTATGAAGAATCTCCCATGCCTGATGAAGGAACTAGGAATTTTTTAATATCTAAATAATAGTTCTCATAAACTCTAACATTTGAAAGAAGCCTTGATTTAGCTGAACTTAAAGTAAAGCATCACCAGTCTTTTACTTAACAAAACCACACCTACATCAAATAGACATTTCTCTACAAACAACTAAAAACAATTAGACATTTAAACTTTTTACAACCTGTCGAGGTGATGCACCCCCACAACTTCAAAACTGCTTTCTGCAGACAGACTGGGCATTAGGAAATGGAGATTTTCACAGGAACGGTTGTGGACTATATTCAGTTCTGCATTGGAAATGTGTCTGAACAGGGCTGCCTGTGGAGCTGGTTTACAGTTGCCTTTTGTATCTCTGCTCTTTTCTGTGTGTCTACTTCTGTCTCCTTGAACCCGAGTCTGGTTCTGCTGGAGGTCTCACCCTGTTAAAAGGGAGTTTTTCCTGTCCTCTGTCGCTGCAAGCATGCTCAGTGTGAGGGATTGCCTTTGAAATCAACTGCCAGCCTAAAAGATTATCACCCAGAGATCCTCACACCAGTAAGCATGAAGTGTTTTGATAGTCTGATTCTTTAGCACATCAAGGACAATCTCCCCCCAGGTTATAACCCCCACAAATTTGCATACCAGGTTAATAGATTGAAAGAGGATGGCATCACCGTAGCCCACCACTATGCAATGAAAAAGCCTTTAATACAATAATCCTGACAGTCTGGTTTGCAGAAAACAACATCTCTCTGACCAAGGAAAATCGATTTCATCATCCACTTTGGGAAGCACAGCACCGAACCAGTCCCTCTACACCTCAACGGTGAACACATATAAAGGGTTAACACATTCAGGTATCTTGGCACGCTCATCTCTGACCACATGTCATAGTCAGTAAACATCACCTCCATCATTAAAAAGGCTCAGCAGCAACTGCACTTCATGGGAGTCCTCAGGAAGCACCAACTCAGCTCCAACCAGTTCTGAGCTTCTACCATTCATCCATGACCAGCCTGCTGATATTATACATCACATTATATAGTACAATGTATATATAATCTTTTTCTTCTATGCTTTTGCACTGATATTGTTTTTTTCTTTCTTAATATGCTACATATAATAACAATAAAACCCCACAAGTTATCTTTTATATCACTTGATATCTGGCAAACAGATAAGCGATACAACAATTTGTTTTGATATTTCTTTGTCATTTGAAATTTAAGAATAATTTTGTTCCCTTTAAGCAGACCCTGTGTTGTGCTCAGTAGCATCCCAGTTAGTTTTTTCTTTTTTTGAACAACTCTTAGACATGTTTTAAATCATGTTATGGCTTTACTGATTTAAGAAATCAGTAAAGCCATTATATTTGGTCAGCCAGACAGGGGTGGAGACTGGAAGCTTATTCTGAATTATTTTTTCTTAATGATTTTTTTCTTGTTCAGTGGGTGGATCACAATCACATATTTCACAGTACAAGAAATCATCACAATAAAGCATTATTTTCAATGATCTACAGGGCTGTCTAAAGTCAGTCCACTATGGCTGGTACCCTGCATGTTTGAGACAGTTTACCTGCTTCAGCATACTTGATTTTCCCTGATGGTTGAATAACTACAATTACTCAATAAAGGGTTTTAAAGCAGGGAAACTTCTAAGATATTTTGGCCCTAGGCTGATTGTGCAAGTTGCTACAGAAAACAAACACAACTACAAAGCCTAAAGATCTATATCAACATGTTATAATTACACCATTTGAGGAATACTCACCAAAAATCGCATAGATCAGGACTACAAAGTCCAAGATGTTGAGGCCAAAGCTGAAGTAGTGCTGTCTTAGTGCAATGATTTTCAGGATGAACTCGATGAGGAAAAGAATCATGATGATGAAGTGGAACCACATCATTACGGTGTATGCCAGCATAGACTGATCATCCCTTTCCATCATCATCGACAACACTTTCACACAAATTACTACCACAACCAGGATTTCAAATGTTGGGGCAGTCACCAGATCAAACAGGCGAGCAATGCACCGGTTCTGGAGACAAACAGGAAACATATCAGTCACTTCTCATTAATGTTGAAAATCTACAGAATTTAGTAATCTTGAAAGAAAAGAAAGCCTAGAACAAGAAGTCCTATCATAAACCTTTTAACTGTATTGATCATTTCTGGTCCCCCTGTGATCTGTTCCGTTCAGTGCTATAACTAATTAGATAGATCAATCTAATGGAGTCAGATTCAGGTCTGATGACCAATCAGCTGATTGGTCAACATGTTCTTGTCTTTGAGAGGAGCTAGTTGAACTGAAGCTAGAGTGATCCACACTAAACCTTAACTAAACTATAAAGACACAAATGGTGTATGAAAAGAAAAAAAATAAAAAGATTTATAAAACCATTGACATGTTCACCAGCATGCAATTTTTATTGTATGAACCACAGCTGAAGGTCAATGTTTGCATACAAGGTTTCACCTAATGATCCGGTCCCTACATCAAAAACAAAACCCAACTGTAAACCGAAAAACCCAGCTATGTAATCTGTGCAGACAAACATATGTGACATATAGGGTTGCAAATAATGGGTATTTTATTAGTCAGTTGAGTTTTTTCCTTTTTTTATAAGTTAGATTTAAAAGATAACAATTTCCACCTCTTTGTTCCAAAATACAGATTTAGAATAAAGTGTACCTGCAAAACTGTGATATCAAATGCAGCCTCAGTATACCACACTTTTGTGCTGATGTACCAAGGGAAATAGGTGGGTGCAACAGAGCACAGAGAGCGGAAACACCCCTGTGGACAATCAAGTGAACCACCAGACCATTCCATAGAGTGTTTCACGAGCTGCAGTTTATGTGAATATTACAGTCTACATTTGTAAGTCTGTATTTTTCTTCCAATGATGTTTACATCTTTTACAAGTATTTTTATTTTTTTCCCTCCCAGATTTGAAAAGGATGTTTATTCATCAAACACTCATAAGTGTTTTTTGTCTGCATAATATATGTATATTCTAAGCATGAATATCGACTTCTATACCGTTATGTAATGACAATAAAAAGAAGTGGTAATTTACATTAATCTAGATTTTTTTTTTTTTTATCTAGATTCTGACTCATATGAGCAGCACAGCGCTTTGAGAAATGAAAGTCATGTGTAACCCAAAAACTTACTGAATTACCCTTTGAGGGACCAATAAAATATAACTGAATTTAATTGAAAAAGAATTGCCAAGCCTTGGTGCACAGAACAATCTGAAAAAAGAGACCTTGTGCGTCTGTTGTCAGAAGCAATCTTTGCAAGAAACGAACAAGCAAGTGAATATGTACATTCCCTGAGTAAATATTCTGGCAACAAACTCTACATTTCTCACTAGAAATGTAATCAAAACTCATTTTAATGCAAAAACAAACTCAAGTCATTAATCTTTCCACAAAAAAATTAGCGAATGTCGGCCATATATATATATTTTTTTCTTCTCCCAGCTGGAATCTTGAAAGTCACGTGACTAGGACGTAAAACAATAGAAAGCGTATAGGCAGAAGAAATGTAACAGTACCACAAAAAAATGGCCATTAATTTACCTCCACTACGTTTTGCAGTGTGGACCAACGTAGTGGGGGTACATTTTCCCATGAGACTGGGTTGCATATAATAACTATTGTAGGGACTCACCCTGCAGTTGACCTCCCTCCACCCCCAAACAGGCCCCCTGTGTTCTTTCAGCTGTTGCATAATCACCACAGGGCTTTTGTGCTATGCCAAATAACTTTTCACAGCTTGTACATTTCCCATTTCATAAAATGTTCTAATCTCCCAGGTTTATGAACTTAAAAGTAGGACATTATAAGGTAATCATTAACTGCTTTGCAGCTGCATGCATGATAGTTTTAGGATTCCCTACACCGATCAGTAAAAAACATTTATGTTTATACACAGAGCAGATATTCTTTACCAACACTTTTAAACAATGATTCTATCAACATCTTGTAGCAGCCTGTTAAAGCAAATCTAAAGCAAAAGGCTAGTGAAAATAAGAATAAGTTTATCTTAAATATTAAAGGTATAGAGGACTATTTTTTTTTTCAGTTGGATCATCTTAATAAGTGGTCCTCAAAATTGTCAATTATTCTGGTGATATGTTTACGTAAGGTCATCCTACATGCTCGTCCTGTTAGCAGAGATGGGAAGTAACGAAATAAAAATACTTTGTTACTGTACTCAAGTAGATTTTTCTGATATTTTTACTTTACTTTACTACTTATTTTTATGGCGACTTTTTACTTCTACTCCTTACATTTTTACACAAATATCTGTACTTTCTACTCCTTACATTTTTAAAAATTGGCTCGTTACTTTAGTTTTGAATCATTTCAATGGAGTTACCGTTATCATTTTTCATGTCATCAATACCAAATTCAATCTAATTGGATGGGAATCTACGTTGCATTTGATGCACCACTACAAGATGAATCGACAGATTCGGTGGTATTCATTCCCGGCAAATCATTGCAGCTTGGTGGCGGTGGCATTAGCTGTTGGGATCCAAAGGTTTGCCCTCCAGAGGGCTGTGTGGATCCCTTCCTGTGGGCTTCTGTTTCTGTTGGGATCCAGAGGTTGCCCACCAGAGGGCGCTGTGGATCCTCTCCTGGGAGCTGGTTCTCAGCCCTCAGCTGATTCCCATCAGCTCTGCTGATTAACCTCTCCCTATATAAACCGTTTGATAGCTTCACTCTGAGCCGGATCGTTGCCATGTGCTGCCTTGCCTTGCCTTGGCATGCTCTGCCATTGCCATGCCTGCCTGAATCTGCTTATCTGTGCCTGTTAAACCCAGCCTGTCTAACCAGCGAACCTGTGAGTTTAAGCTTGTTAATCTGTCCCTGAGTTTAACCTGTGCTCTGTCTTCTCTGACTTCCAGGGCAGAACCCTGTGTTGAATCCATTAAATATTGGACTTTAATCCTGCCTGTCTGTCCTGTGAGTTCTGCATCTTGGGCTAGCAAACCAACTACATCATGACAGAACGATCCGGCCAACAGACTAGCCCAGCAGACTCTTTCCACGCTCACCTGGTGAGGCCCGCTCAGCACCGTCCGCTGCCTCCCAGGTGGGAGGCGCTGCTTCGACACTATTATGAGATAGTGGCCTCCTTTGCCCCTGAGCCCGCTTCTTGCTGTCCAGAGACCCCTGAGCAGAACTTAAGGGAGGGGCTGCGCCGGCGTTTTGGGAATTTGGCTCGAGAGTTGGAGATGGAGCTGCGTCGAAAAGAAGAGGAGTGGAATCGCAGATGTCGGGAGATTTGGGGCCGTTGGGTAAGCCCTGAGCCTGCTCTGTCTCTTCCAGAGACTCCTGAATCGGCGGCCTCTTCACTTCCTGATCCGGAGTCGCAACTGGCAGCCTCCTGTGTGCCTGTGGAGCCACAGTCGGTGGTTTCCTCTGCTCCTGATGCGAAGCCGCAATGGGCGGCCTCTTCTGTTCCTGATCTGGGGCTGCAATCGGCAGCCTCCTGTGTGCCTGTGGAGCCACAGTCGGTGGTCTCCTCTGCTCCTGGGGTGGAGCTGCAGTCGACTGTTTCCTCTGAGCCCCCTCCTGAGCCGCAGTCGGCGGTTTCCTCAGAGCCTCCTCCTGAACCGCAGTCGGCGGTTTCCTCTGAGCCTCCTCCTGAGCCACAGTCGGCGGTTGCTGCTGAGCCTGTTGCTGTGCTGCAGAAGCAGAGACGGTGTCCTCCTCGGAGCTTCCTGCAGCAGCGGAGACGGCGTCCTCCTCGGAGCTTCCTGCAGCAGCGGAGACGGCGTCCTCCTCGGAGCTTCCTGCAGCAGCGGAGACGACGTCTTCCTCGGTACTTCCTGCAGCAGCAGAAACGGCGTCTTCCTCGGTGCTTCCTGCAGAAGCAGAGACGGCGTCTTCCTCGGTGCTTCCTACAGCAGCAGAGACGGCGTCCTCCTCGGAGCTTCCTGCAGCAGCAGAGACTGCGTCTTCCTCGGTGCATCCTGCTGCAGCAGAGAAGGCGTCCTCTTCCAAGGCCCCTGCAGCTTCTGAGACGCCGGTCCCTCGGCCGGCCACCTGAGACTCTGCCCTGCTGCCGGTCCCTCGGCCGGCCACCTGAGACTCTGCCCTGCTGCCGGTCCCTCGGCCGGTTGTCTGAGACTCTGCCTTGTCCCCGGCCCCACGGCCGGCCACCCGAGACTCAATCCTGCTGCCGGCCCCACGGCAGGCCACCTGAGACTTAGCCCTGCTGCCGGCCCCTCGGCCGGTCACCTGAGACTTTCCCTGTCCTCGCCCACCCTGGGTGGGTTGTTTTGAGTTCTGGACCCTGTTTTTGTTTCTTTGTCTGGCCCTCCATGCCTGTTTCCCCCTCTGCTCGCCCAAGGTGGGTTGTTTTGTTTTCTGTTTTTTTTGTTTTTGGGCGTCTGGTATCCGCCCTTAAGGGGGGGGTACTGTTGGGATCCAAAGGTTTGCCCTCCAGAGGGCTGTGTGGATCCCTTCCTGTGGGCTTCTGTTTCTGTTGGGATCCAGAGGTTGCCCACCAGAGGGCGCTGTGGATCCTCTCCTGGGAGCTGGTTCTCAGCGCTCAGCTGATTCCCATCAGCTCTGCTGATTAACCTCTCCCTATATAAACTGTTTGATAGCTTCAGTCTGAGCCGGATCGTTGCCATGTGCTGCCTTGCCCTGCCTTGCCATGCTCTGCCATTGCCATGCCTGCCTGAATCTGCTTATCTGTGCCTGTTAAACCCAGCCTGTCTAACCAGCGAACCTGTGAGTTTGAGCTTGTTAATCTGTCCCTGAGTTTAACCTGTGCTCTGTCTTCTCTGACTTCCAGGGCAGAACCCTGTGTTGAATCCATTAAATATTGGACTTTAATCCTGCCTGTCTGTTCTGTGAGTTCTGCATCTTGGGCTAGCAAACCAACCACATCATGACATTAGCATAGTAGCATGGACGACGAGATGATTGAAAATGAACACAACAGAGATCTAGTCCTATTGGCAGACATCCATTTAAAATGTAGGCAACGGCATGAAAAAGTGGCTTCTACTTTTACTTTTATACTTTAAGTAAATTTACAAGCCTGTACTTTGTTACTTTTACTTGAGTAAAGAAGTTTAATCAGTACTTCCACTTTTACCAGAGTATTTTTTAACAAAAGTATCTGTACTTTTACTCAAGTACGGAAAGTGAGTACTTTTGCCATCTCTGCCCGTTAGCTATCTTTTTCTGCGCATGCGCACTTTCAGGCGTAAATGTTTGGTGAGCTACGGTTTCAGCTAGTCATTGAAGCTCACCTTTTTCTAAACGGTTCTTTGAAAATGGTCAAGGATCATAAGAGAAAAAGTGTCTGTGAAGTGTATGAGAAAAAAAGAAGGGATTCAGAAGAGGCAGATATATCCCGGAATGTTTTGCGCAGAGAGCTCTCCTCCCAAAGCATTATTGGATTTGCGGTGACAGTGGCCCGCTATTGCCATAGGCGCTTCCCGACAGCGGCGACTAATAACAAAGATGGCGCAGGTATAGCGCGGTGGAGGAGGGGTTAAGTGACCAACGGGGAGTAAAAGTATTGATCATCTATCCGAACGGTCAGTTAACAGAATTCGCTATAGTCCCTGCTCTACGTATATAGTGATTGAGGAATTTAGGGGTTAGGGCAGACGTCCAGTTACTGGGATGTGCATTTTGTGGAGAGGAGAGGGCAGGTCTTTTCAAAAATCCTCCACTATAATTTTAAAGGGGAACACCTGTTTTTTTTTACATTGGGCCCTTGATTTGACATTATTACATCATGTTCTACTCACCCATATTAGTTTTGTGTCATTTGGAGCCATTCTGAAGATATTCCGTTATGTTATATCCAGGTAACGTCTTCCTATGGGCAACGAGTTGAAGGCACAAACTAAACTGTTCATAATCTATTCTTTATGGTACGCCAACATTCATAACATGTAGGCGAATGACTGTCCCCCAGACATCCACGGTTATATTTTTTATATGTATACTTTTAAAAAAAAGCGGCGTGTGTGTGACGTCATCCGTAGGCTTAAGTAATTATACATGTAACTGTATATTACCCTTGAAATTTAGTATGTTTATAATATTTTGGCAAAGAAGTAATTTTTAAAATGATTCAAACGTTAAACAGAGTTTTTTAACTCCTTCCCATTTCTAGCAATGACTATGATATTTGCCTATCAACAGGACCAAAATAACTGAGTCTGACATATGCATTTCTAGAGTTTAAATGTAAAGTTTATGTTATGTTATAAATTTTAGGTGATAACTATTCCTGTAAGTGTGACCAGAATTTTTTGGAAGAAAAACAAAATACATATAAAATAAATATAAAATACATTTGTTTCCTCTGTAATTTTAGAAAAAATTATTTTGCACATGCATTTAGTTCAAAATTTGAATCTCATTAATGGGTTATATTTGGGCCAGTATTTTAATTAGTTTCTTAATGGTAACCATTGATTTAATTTAATGATGAATCTATTACATACAGCTTTAGTCTACATTGCCCTGACCAGAATTTGAGCATACTTGTGGGCGTGGAGCAGCCTTCTCAGGTGACTTGGGGAAAATCTTTCCTACAGTTACATGAAACTTTAGCTGCTGCTCCGTCCTGAGGACATGTTTCCCTCCAGCGTGCTGAAACAAAGGGAATCAAATTAATCGATGGGCAAAGGAAAAAAGCAACAGTTTCTCGGTAGCTGACAAAAAACAGGTGAACACGGCAACCAGTGTCAGAAAACCTATCTTGTTATTCTGCTTATGGAGAGCATCAATACAGGCCCTGATGAGGAGGTTGGAGCAGAAGAAGCAGCCGAAGATGATGAAAAGGACAAAGTACAGATACATGTTCAGTCTGTACTCAAACTGTGGCTGGTCCTCCACCTACAAACAACCACAGACCAGTTACTATCTTTAGCTTTACTGGTACTAAAAACCAGTTCCAATAGCAGGCTATGTTTTATATTATGGTACATTCAACACAGCATGTGCCCCCCATTATATCGCCCTAAAATGTTTGCATTCTTATTGAGTGCTTCCATCCTTGACCAATTATCGTAAAACTATTTCCAATTCCGAATTTAGTTTTTGTGAACTCATTCTTAATTAAAACTCTAGCCACTTCTGTATTATGTATCATCAGAGCGTGGACTGAGGGCGCCATGGAGAAACTTCAGGACTGTTTTGAATGCTCTGACTGGAACATGTTCAAAGCTGTAGCTACATATGACAATAAGATCAATATAGATGAGTATGCCATGACTGTGTCAGCCTACGTCAACAAATGTACTGAGGGCACCAGCACAACAAAGGGCCACCACCCAGGCCACCAATGACCCTGGATGAATAGGGAGGTTGGGAAATTGCGAAAAGCATGGAACTCAGCTTTCAAGTCTGTTGATAGAGAGGCACTGGTGACAGTACGTGCATACTTGAACTGTGCCATGACCGCTGCTCATTTACTGTCTGAAAGCTGTACAAAACAAAATTTTGTCTTGTATACACTATATGTATACATAATGGCAATAAAAGTTGTCTCAGTCTAATCAGACAAATTTAAAGTGGCTTCTCTCTAATCCTTTGTACCATGTAAATAAAATATTAGTTCTTTTTAGCTCTCTACATAATTATTTTGGTCAAGATCATTGTTTGATTTTGTAATAACAAAAGTTGGAGGACTTAGATTTGTGTCTTCTGAGTCTCTTCTACAGTAAGTAGTTATAGGCCCTGGAACCTAAAGAGGAGTAACTAAATGTACTAAAAAGTTTCAAATACTCCACTGATTTCCTGCAGACGTTTATCAAACTCTTATTTTTCTTGCTTTTTTTCTTTCTTTTTTTTTTTTTAAGAAAATTAGATTTTCTTAAAGGAATAGTACACCCAAAACATGATTAGCCTTCATTTTCTACTCACCCCCATGCTGAACAACACTCTGGAGTACTTTTTTGATATCTCAAATGCATCTGGAGATCTGGGAGGCTTCTTGCTGTCTGCTGACATTCAAATAATGGAGGCCTATGGCGCCCGAGGCAGGAAGGTCCATAAAAGTCCACAAAAAACGTGTTAATATTCCTCCATACTGCTCGTCCAATGTATTCCAAGTGTCCTGAGTGGGTAGCATCCAGAATTCCTGAAAGCGCGCACATGCGCGTTCACGACGCTACGGAAGCCGGCAGACCAAACCAGATGAAAGTGCGCATTCAGCGTCTGCTCTGCCAATAATGCAAGCGTAGAAGAAGAAATGTGCTGTTTACCTGTGCAAAGAAAGAAACAACGAAAGAAAAATGTCTGAGGACTTCAGTGTTGAGGAAGAGCATGAGTTCTTTGCCGAGCTGAATGTGCTGGTTTGGTGTGCCGGCTTCCGTAGCGTCGTGAACGCGCATGTGCGCGCTTTCAGGAAATCCTATACACTATTGTTTATGCTCTAAAAACATTCTAAATGACTTCGTTTCGAGTAAATTCTGGATGCTACCCACTCAGGACACTTGGAATACATTGGACGAGCAGTATGGAGGAATATTAACACGTTTTTTGTGGACTTTTATGGACCTTTCTGCCTCGGGCGCCATAGACCTCCATTATTTGAATGTCAGCAGACAGCAAGAAGCCTCCCAGATCTCCAGATGCATTTGAGATATCAAAAAAGTACTCCAGAGTGTTGTTCAGCATGGGGGAGAGTAGAAAATGAAGGCTAATCATGTTTTGGGTGTACTATTCCTTTAAAACTAAAACTGTTTGAGATGTTTTGAGAATATATATTGTATTCATGTGACCTGCAACTACTCTCAGTTTGAGGATTTTGGCTTTATTAGCAAAATGTTTGGACTAATGATCTAGAGACTCCCTGCACATTAAGTACTGCACTATTCTCTCTTTTTAATTGGAACCTCGACTTTCTGGAATTGCCTGTCAATTTTAAATATTTTAAAGTAGTAATTTACATAAATAGCAATACTTGCAATTAATCAAATATTGCAATAATCATCAACCAAACTGTTATTCAGATGGAAATTTTAACTCCAACATATAGACTCTAATGTGTTTTTTTGTACAACAAAAGCGTAAAAAATATAAACATTTTCCATTTAGGATGAAAAGTCTTTGTAAATATGCTCTATCCAGGGGATCTTAATGAATTGTAATGTCATGAGCACTGGATTTATCTATTTTGTATATGTTTCTTCCATTTGAAATTAATTTTAAATGTTAAAATAGATGTTTCCTTAAGTTCAAAAGATTTGTTTATTATGGTATTCTACTTTACTCAGACTAATTGAATTGATTCATTCTTAGAATAATGTTAGCACCAGCACTAATAGATGATTCAGAGGACAACAAAGTGTTGGATGCACCACAAACGTATTGTGCAACACCTCAGAACACCCTGCAGGGCCTTAACATGGTGTCACTCACATGGTAGCTGCAGGTGGAGATGTTGGGACTTGTTTCAAAAAGCCAATACCAATGAGTGCACTGACCTGTGTGGAGTCCACAGCATCATGCATGATATCTTTCCAGCCTGCTGATGTTGCCTGCATCAAAGCACAGAGTTTCATTAGAACAATCTGGATTCATTCACTGTAAAATGTTCTCCTTAATCAATCAAGTATAAACATGTTTGAAACATTAATGTTTACCCTTGATTTAGACATTAATGTTTCAGTGATATTTTACACTTTTCAAGTAGAGCAAAATTTTAGAAAGTAAAAAAAAAAACCATATACAAATACTATACATTCCTCATAGTGAGTATTTTTTTAAGCTATACTTAAGCATGACTGCTGGTTTGTAAACAGCACAGTGATCTTGCTTTCATGTTCCTAATCTTGTTATCTAGTGTTATGTTTGGGGGTTTAAATCCATGAATTCCATACTGACCATAACCAGCAGTGAAAGGAAAGCCATGCCCACGTTGTCAAAGTTGAAATGTTCATTCCTCCAGCAGATATCAGTGTTGTTTTCCTGAATGTAAAGACAGTCTGTCTTGTTTGCGATATGATCCCAATCCATTCTTTCTTTTGTGGTCATATTAAAACAGGAGTAAAACTTTCCTGCAAACAGATTTACTCCCATGATGCTGAAGTTCAACCACACGAACAGAACAACCAGCAGTGCGCTGCACATGGAGGGGACACTTGCTGCTATGCTCTGAAGCACCACCTGCATGGAAGGTAAAGAAGAGAAAGGACAAGGAAAAATCATCCAACACTGACCAATCGTAGATACTTTTTGTCAAGTCAGATGCACCTGTGAGTCATTATATTAGAAGATATTTCTGCTCTGTTTTCTCCCTTGTGTCTATTTCCATCAGCCTTTCTTCCATCTTCCAGATGGTCGTGTCAAATAGGTTGTTTCCAAGGTCTTTACATTTTTCATTCAGACAATTGTCTATCCTGTCACATCTGATTTGTTCACATGTCTATGAATCTGACTCTAGTCTGTGCCCAACTTTTTCAGGCTGTTCATTTGTCTCAATTTGTTTATGATATTTGCTTGTCTGTGAAAAGGTCTTACATCAATTTGTGTTTTGCAGTATTAGGTTAGGAACTAGAAAAGCACTCAGAGAGCACAGATCTCCACCAAGCAGCAAATTTTGCCCCAACTTGAGACTTACACCCATAGTTAAAAGTGGCACATGATCTGGAGCATTATTAAATTAGAGTGTATTGTTCCTTGGCATGAGATACACCTTTGTCCTTAAAATCTTCTCATAAATTTGTAAATGATGCAGCCTGTGTCTTCAGCCTCTGGTGTTTGTTCTGCGCTCACCTTCTTCATTCACTCTGGGCTCTTGTTAGATCAGCAGATTGAGACTTTTAGTGAGGACTGGCTACCTACCCTGTGTTTTTGTCTTCACTATAGTACTTCTTGACTTTTTTTAGAACAATGCTGAAGCTGTCAAGAGTCACCACTTCCACTCAATGCTTTAGGACAGAACTGCTTTTTCTACCAAATAATGTTAAATAATCATTTAAAAAATCTCTTCATCCGGATTACGATGACTGAGGTGCACCTTTGATTAAAAAAAAAACATGAAAATCCATTCATAACTTTTCAAACACATAACTTGACTGAAAACATACCCTCCTTGGTGAAGGTACTGACAGACTTAGGAACAGCACAAACAAATACTTTGTCAGAAACACACAAACATAATCCCACACAGACACAAACAGCCCTGCTGATAATCAAACAGACCATTACCCTATTTCATTGAATGGTCAGGCACCTGCTGCACTTTATGTACACACAAAATTCCTATGTACATGCTTTGTACTATATGTCTCAATACTATGTATCCCTTTTCTAAGGGTGTTTTTTTGTATTCTTCTGGGAATTAATATTGTTTTATATCTTCAAAAGGTAACCACGTGTTTATTGCAAGGGATTTTTCTTTAGCTGTTTTCCTCCTAAGTATTTTTTATCTTAGACAAAGGTTTGTAAGTTTTTTTCTGTGTATCATTATAATTCAGAGTCTCTGCAAAGTTCCATGTGATTTGATAATAAAAATAAAGATTATTGATTCATAGTGCTTGAATCTCTTACCCTCATGCCTTTGAAGCGGGATGGTACCCTCAAGGTCCTCAGGGCCCTCAGGGTCTTTAGCGAATTGCTGGAGTATCCCAGTGTTTTACCAATCAAACCGAACATAGAGACCTGAAGGATAAAACATACCTGCTGGTGATATAATAATACAGGTGCGCAGGAAACAGCAGGCTAAGTTAAGCGTGACAGCGATAAAGCTGCAAAGGCCCCTCAGTTATTTAAATAATCTTTTATTGATCATTTAAAAATAATCTGCAGGATCCTTTATCTTAATGAACTGTCCACCCTGACTTTCATTTTCTTTGATGAATTAAGGCTACTACTCCACACAGACCCAAAATCATATGAATCTTCACAAGACGTTATATTTTAGGATTCTTGTTTGAGTTGTAATAGGTTCCTGAAATAATCACTTTAATCTTAGTCACTTCTTGCAATTTGAAGAGAATCAGGGCCTAGCTGATTCCTACTGTGTGTTTGTGTATGTACATATATATACTGAGATGCTTTTAAGCTTAAAACCCTCAAAGGACAAACCCCTGTGATGCTGCTTGTATGACAGAACTTACGTATGTATAAAAAAATACACGATAAAATCGATAAAAATCGACTTTTAAAAGCGCTGGCAACGATTTTCATCATTGATTAGTTGTGTCTCGCGATTAATGAGTCATCCGCCGCCGTCGTCATCACATCCACTTGACTGAAACGGGGGAAGAAAAAAAAATACGGCAGCACCGCAGGTGCAGTTTTGCCAACTCAGCGACTTTTCAGACCCCTCCAGCGACTATTTTTCAAAAAAGCGACTAGCGACAAATCTGGCAACTTTTTACGGTGTCACTGGCGGCTTTTGGAGACTCTTACGTGAAAGCATGTATCGTTCCTACTCTTGTCCTCCAGCGGCAGCTGCTGCCGTGGGGCGCCTCCCCCATCCCAACCCCGTTCTCCCGCTCCCGCAGGAGTCACTCTCAGCGCTGCAGTCAGAGCTGCAGGATGTGTACCCTCAGCGTCCAGACTGCAAATGAAGCGCGCATGCGCCGGGATTGACGGCCCCAGTTTATCACCATAATTAAAATAGCCTGCGCTATGTAAAGCGAAAAAAGTCGTAACATGCAACTTTTGTAAAAACAAATTAACATGGCACGGAAGCACCACTGTTATGATGTAGCACCTGAAAAGAAAACACGTTGGAGCCTTCGATGGCAGTGAAGAGAGCTGATCAGCAGGGTGAGCGACCATGTTTGTTTCGTTTTAAAGTGGGGAAACGTAACGTTAGTTTCTCAGATAGCTCATCTGATGCTTTCCTTACCGTGTTAGTAGGTTACAGACAGTGATAAGGTTGGCTACTTATTTTACTTTTAATTTAATTTGAATTAGCTTAAGCAGCATTTATATTTTCTTTATAAATAAATTAACTTGCAAATTATGAAGGCAAGGCTTTTAAAGTTTAAATCTTCCGGCAAAGATAAAGTAAAGAAGATTCTGCAATTTATGGAAGTAAAGCAGAATAAAATCCAGGAAGATCAGTAATATGTCAATTAATTATATGCCACATTCCCATGTAAATATCTGTCTTTGGAGGGTGTTTTTTTAGCACCCCTAGTTCTCTCATTTTTATTTCAAATACAATTTATAATTTAAATCACAGGGCTATTTTTTTTTTTTTTTTATATATTGAAATTTTTATTTGGAAAGGCAGGTTACAATTACTTTGTACATTCAACCTTCCACCACAGTGGAAATATGGAAAAGAACAACATCAGCCGATCCAGAGTTTTTGTATAATAACCAAACATCTATAACTTAAAAAAGCGAGCGGGTGGGAACATGAGGTCTGATTCAAATCTTCCTTATTTTTGGGGAAAAGCACAATTCAGGACATAGGCCTGCCAAAAGGGAACAATACACAGCACAACAGTATTTGCATGTGGTAAGAAAAGTTTAGATCACAGGGATTACTGGTTTTACATAGTTTGTCCACTTAGACCAAATCCTGAAAAAAGATTCCCTACGTCCTTGGACAGAGAAAGTTAGCTTCTCCAGCATGTAAATGTCCTGCACTATGTCAAACCAGTCCTCAACTGTAGGTGCTTGAGGTTTTAACCATTTTCTGGTGATTGTCTTTTTACTTGCAGCCAGCAGCATTAACAGCAGTTTTTTATCTTCCAGAGTCCAGTTGTCAGATGGAATGTTTCCTAAGTACAGAATTTCACATTTACACGGGAGATTTTTAGTGAAGATGTTGTTTATGTGGGTACACGTTTGCTCCCAAAAATCTTTAATCACCGGACATCCCCAAAAGATCTGGTGGTGATTTGCTCCGTTTTTTCCACAGAGTCTCCAACAGGCATCTCCGCTGCCATGATGTTTTTTCTGAGCTGGAGTTACAAAATATCGAACAGAGTTTTTCCAACAGAACAGTCTCCATGTGTTGGAGCTTGAAGTCATCCAGTGTAATTTATTAATCTGTTCCCAGACTTTAGTTGAGATAGATACGTTTCCTTCTTTTTCCCACCTGTTCCTTATATAGTCGTATCACCTTGTTTAGAAGATAAAATAGCATTGTAAAGTATGGAAACAAGTTTCTTGCATGAAGCGGACTTCAACAAAGACAAAAACACATCAACCAATTTTGATTTGGCTGTTTCCCAATCATTACGTATGTTTTGATTGAAATAGGCCCTCACTTGTAAATATCTGAAGAAGTCGTCCCTCTCTAGCCCATTAGATCTCTGAAGCTCCTCAAAACTCTGAAATACCCCTTTTTTGGTAAATGTATAGTAGGTGGTTATTCCTTTTTGGATCCATCCTCTAAATCTCTCATCCATCTTATTCGGTTTAAAAGCAGAGTCAAAGGCACACCATCTGAGTATTTTTATCTGGTTGCCCAATTTACAGATTTTAATCACCTTTCTCCAGGAATCCAGCATTGGGTGTAGCATTGAACCATGTGGTATATTCAGCCCATCTTGTAATTCCGTATCCATTAATACTGATATTAGGGGTATTCCCTCCACTTTTCTACCTTCCATATCTTTCCACCTGGCATCGTATGATGGAGAGCATAGAAAGAACACTGGTCTTAACTGAGCTGCAAGGTAATAAACTTGCAAATTGGGAAGACCCAGTCCACCTTTCTCTTTCTTTAATTGCAGCGTCCTATACCTCACCCTTGCCTTTTTTCCCTGCCAAATATACTGAGATATCATTCTTTCCCATTCTATAAAACGTCTTTCTGATATCTGGATAGGTAAACATTGAAATAGATAAAGGAAGCGTGGGAGAATGTTCATTCTGACCGATTCCACTCTGGAGTATAAATTTCAAAAAGGGGTCAGGTTCCATCTCTGTATGTCTGATTTCAGGTTTGAGATTAGGGGCCCATAGTTGGCATAAAAAATCTTAGAAGAGTCCTTGGGCAATGTGACCCCTAACACAGGGCTATTTTTATCTCTATGGTTCAGTATTTTGTCAAGTAGCAACTTTAACTGCTATACTTTCCTGTCTTAAAAGGCAGAACTCTTCTAGTCTAAAAAAACTAATTTGTTGAAATGGGGGGACCTATTGTTTGAACCCCTTAGGGGCTTTTAAAAACAAAAATGCCTGTCTTTTTTTGCGCTTTATGAAACAAAGTACCCTATATTTTGTGGATGTACAGCTACATTTCTCATGTAAGTTTGCGTAGTTTTAACACAAACATTTATTTTTCATATTGCACCAGGACAGTTAATGAGCAACCTGTACTTGTGTGCTTGTTTGTTCTGTCTAAAATGTTTATTTTGGAATAAAGAGGTTAATATAAAAAAGACTTTTTGTCCGATTCATCGATTAATCGAAAAAATAATCGGCCGATTCATTGATCTTTAAAATAATCGTTAGTTGCAGCCCTAATATATATATATATAGTTTTGCTGTTTGTGTATTTTTTAAAGGAAAGTCCGGTCACATTCAGAATAAAAACTTCTGAAAGTACTTTAAGTATGAAATTATTACACAATTTTCTTAAATGATGAGTGTTTTTAATTAAGAGTAATCTTATATGAATTAGCATTACCGGAGACATCCATGTTTTTTTAAAGAGCAGTACTGCCACCTACGGATTTGTGACGTCACGGTGCGGTATCGGCTGTTGAGCAAGTCCCAGTGCTGTATCTGGTGTTTGTCACAGCGCGCTATTATCCTTGATGGTCAGGACTAGTGCACTAACAGAGACTAATGCAGAGACTGCAGAGACTAATGAATCAATGACGTGTTTTTTTCTCTGGCCAGAAGTTCAATGGCAAATCCTCCCTCTTCAAGTTTGTAATCTAACGTCGAACCTGTGGTGGATCATTAATTGGAAAGGTTGAAATATATTTTTTTCCAATTTTACCCAATGTATTACAAGATCCAACTGCAATGGACGTAAGCATTGTCAGTTTAACTATAGATCTCATGAATTACAATGGTGAAGACCTCTCGAAATCTTACATAATTGTTTTTGATTGCAGGTCTGTCTAGTAGCTCCCATTGATTTTGCGTCTAAAGTGGGGAGAACAGCGCTGGACTAACCGCACCCTGACGTCACTGCCGGAAGATGTCAGGAGTGAGGTGTTACTATATTTGGGCAAAAATGCCCAGGTCCCGGACTCTGTGATCGCAATGAAAAATATTGTTTTTATTTTTTTACTGATTCACGCTAAATTCATTAAATCATGTATTAGTTTTAGGTATAAATAATGACCCATTGGTTATTCCTTACTGACTGGACTTTTCCTTTTATTGCTTTTGTTTTTATAGGACAGCCATCCTCTCTTTTGGAATCTTGGCCTGCCTCTGTTTGCAAATTAACTCAAAAGTTAGGGCTGTTGCTATGATTATTAATTAAATATAGCAAAAACTGACCAATCGTGTGTGTTAATGCTCATGCTCTTACATCTAAGACAAGGAAGTCAAGCCAGCACCAGAAGCTAGTGAAGTATTGCTTGAATCCCAAGGCGATCCACTTCAGCAGCATTTCTGTCAGGAACAGGCAGGTGAACACCAGGTCTGCTTTGTCTAGCACCTCCTGCATGACTTCGTTGGGTTCTATGAGTGTGTCTTCTAGGACCTGAATGCAAACACACTTTTTGTTGTAGACTCCAGGCTGCTCACTGTGTCATCACATCATTAGTTTATCTGAATTTGCAATCTTTTAATAAAGAATTGAAATAAAAAATACACCCTAAATTGGACCAGGTGCAACATGAGGCAAGAAATGTGGGTGGATTCTAAAGGTACAACATGGAGATATAAAATATGTCTACCACTTCGCTATAAGAGATGGGTATACAAAAACTGGGGTAAAACATAGGATGTAAAAAGGGTGCAAGATTTGGGGTTACAATGTGGGGTAATGTAAGTTGTAAAAGTAAGACACTAGTTATTGTATTAAGCCACATACCTGATCATTTGCTCAAGATCAGTAATGTCAAAATAGTTTTATTTTTCTAGACAAGAGTTCAAGTTTAAGTACTGGTGATGAAACAGTCATATATGAGAATGACAGCAGGGTGGGAAGTAACCTAGGGTTATTCGGACAATGACTCAGCGTCGTATGTGGATGTGTAATGTTTTTTTTGTTTACCAAAGCAGCGCTGCTAAGCAGGATGATGAAGATCATAAAGACTTCAAACACTCTGTGTTGAACGATGAGGAGACATGCCTTCCTGAACTTAAACCACACCTTCCCAGAACCCTGGGATGTGTCTATATCCTGGATCGAAAAGCAGTTGTAACAAACTGAAATGCAAAGGTATTGATCAGCTCATGCTTCCATATTATTTCACAAAAAAATTGTAACAGATGATATTACATTTTTGAGTAATGAAGAAAGAAGATTAAACTGCAAAATAAAAGAGGGATTTTTACTCAGAACCCCTGATCGCTCTGTACATACCTGAACAGCAGCAGTCTCCAGGTGTGTTTTTTGTCAGATTTCTGTTGTCCAGAGACTTCTGCACCCCATCACACTGTAGAAACAGACACACTTCTGTTTAACTTTAAGTTTAAAACAAAAAATGTATTGCGCTGAAACATATAGTAATGAACACACAGTCCTAAATGACAAATGTGCTCTATTTTAAATATTCATTATTATTCGCATGGGCATTATTCTTTGAATTCATTTTTAAAAGTTATGTTTATCAGACTAAATAAACTATTATCAAAACCATACCTATATGTATCTTTTTAGGTTGGCTAATGTATACAAATACACAGAAAATAAATAGTACAAAATCATTAAATAGAATATCCCCCTTAATGTGATGGAGGGATTTATCTTCCCCATGCTCCTGGGAGCCATGCTTTCTAGCACTTTAATCCTTGCTATTGTCAACCATGGCAAAATGATCTTACAGGAGCATCTGTTGGTGTATATCATGTGATATATGGAGACTAAGGCTCGTAGAGCTCAAAGAGAGCAATTTTACAGTTCATAGCCTTGACCTCTTGGGTTAAAAAACAAGCAGGAAGCCACTTTAACTATGACATAAACATGGAAAAGCAAAGGGGGTTTGAAGAACAAACTGCGTAATAAAGGGAGGGTTGGGATGCAGCTTTTGCTCATAACAGTCTCACAGTCTTGAATGCTGCATTGCTGCAACTAAAGCCAGAGGTTCCTCTTGAGTTTTAACAATATTGCTAGATATGAATGGTCTCCCACTCCATATACTGAGCTCAGGCTCTGAAACATGTTTGCTTTGTTGATAAACCTGAGCACCATTTGCTTTGTATGTATGTGTTTTCTACTCTGCTTTGCTCTGTTTGGATGCTGGGCAGAGTAGGCTGGCTGTGTCAAACTCTACAAGGCAAGTAAGAATAATAAATACTTTAACTGTTATTTTATGGCTACGTTAAAATTACTTTTTCACAACCACCCACAAACCTCTTAAGAGCATTCCTTCCTTCATCCTATGTCAACAATTTTTTTCTATCCTCCAATTTCATTAAAAGAAAGCATTGTCTTGGCTGCACTCCTTCACCCTCTGTCATAGCCACATCCAGTCGTTATTTGGTTTTGCAATGGACATTACACAAAAGTGTAGATTTTTCATCTAAAGGGACCTTCACATCACATCCACTGCACGTCTCCAGTCTAGCTAGAATCAGCAAATTCATGCCGGTGGCATCTCTAAAAAAACGTGTCTGTTGCATTACCTGTAAGTGTTGGGATCCTGAGGCTTGCCCACCCAGGAAGGATCCCTTCCTGGGTATTTTCTGTTACTGTTGGGATCTGGGGTTTTCTGTCTACCTTTCTCCACCAGAGGGCGTACTGGATCTCCTGAGGCTGGAGCTGACCTCACCAGCTGTTCTTCATCTGCTCATCAGGAGACCAGTATTTAAGTGGGCTGAGGACCACACTCCGGCGCCAGAGTGTTAGTCAATCATGGTACACCAAACCCTGAGCCAACCAGTCAGTCCTGTCTCCTGACCACAAGACCTGAACCTGATCCCTATGTTTTCTCTGCTTCTCAGGTTGAACCTGCCTGCAACCCAAACCCCCGGAAGAGTTTTGCTGTTGAAGATCGGTCTGTCCGATCTCAGCAGAACCCTGGAGAACCAAGCCGCAACCCTCAGCCTGCCGTCTGCCTCTGAACCCTCCTGGTTCCCTCCTTCAGCCTGCTCAGCTCAAACCTCAGCCCTTAGTCTGCCGTCTGCCTCTGAACCCTAGACCCGAAGATCACAAGCCCCAGCCAAGCCAAGTCTCCTCCAAGCCCTCAGTCTGCCGCCAACCTCAGAACCTTCCTAGGATTTATCCCCTCTGCTGCTCTGCTCAGTTCCAGGTCAGCAACCCAGCCGTGACCAGCCCTGAACCTGATGACATCCTGACCTGCTTGTTCTGTAATCAATAAACCTTTGAACTTTTTCCCTGCCTCCTGAGTGTATTCTGCATATGGGCTAGAATCCTATACCCATCATGACAGTAAGTAACATAAGTATTTGAACACCCTGCTATTTTGCAAGTTCTCCCATTTAGAAATCATGGAGGGGTCTAAAGTTGCATCGTAGGTTCATTTCCACTGTGAGAAAAAAACAATCCAGAAATCAAAATGTATGATTTACTATGTATTTACTATGTACTATTTTTTTGTATGATATAGCTGCAAATAAGCATTTGAACACCTGTCTATCAGCTAGAATTCTGTTAGTCTGCCTTCAAAATGCCTACCTCCACTCCATTTATTATCCTAAAATATGATGCACCTGTTTGAGGTCCTTAGCTGCATAAAGACACCTGTCCACTCCATACAATTAGTAATAATCCAACTACTAACATGGCCAAAATCAAAGACCTGTCCAAAGACACTAGAGACCAAACTGTACACCCCCATTAGGCTGGAAAGGGCTACATGGAATTTGCCAAGCAGCTTGGTAGAAAAATCATTATAAAAAGGAAGAAGCTAAAAATGACTGTCAATCTCCCTCAGACTGGAGCTCTATGCAAGATCTCACCTCGTGATGTTTCAATGATCCTAAGAAAGGTGAGAAATCAGCCCAGAACTACACTGGAGGAACTGGTCAATGACCTGAAAAGAGCTGGGACCACTGTTTCCAAGGTTACAGTGGGTAATACACTAAGACATCATTGATTGAAACCATGCATGGCACGGAAGGTTCCCCTGCTTAAACCAGCACATGTTTAGGCGCGTCTCAAGTTTGCAAATGATCCAGGAAGTCATAGGAGAAAGTCATGTGGTCAGATGAGACAAAAGTAGAACTTTTTTTATCGTAATTCCACTAACCGTTTGGAGGAAGAAGAATGATGAGTACCATCCCAAGAACACCATCCCTACTGTGAAACATGGGGTTGATAGATTCATGTTTCGGGGGTGTTTTTCTGCACATGGGACAGGGCAACTGCACTTTACTAAGGAGAGGATAACCGGGGCCATTTACTGTGAGATTCTGGGGAACAATCTCCTTCCCTCAGTTAGAGCATTGAAGATTGGTTGAGGCTGGGTCCTCTAACATGACAATGAACCGAAGCACACAGGCAGGATAACCAAGGAGTGGCCCTGTAAAATCCATATCAAGGTTCTGGTGTGGCCTAGCCAGTCTCTAGACCTAAACCCAATAGAGAATCTTTGGAGGGAGCTCAAACTCTATGTTTCTCAGCAACAGTTCAGAAACCTGACTGATCTGGAGAAGATCCGTGTGGAGGAGAGGGCCTAAATCCCTCCTGAAATGTATGCAAACCTGGTGAAAAACTACAGCAAACATTTGACCTCTGTACTTGCAAACAAGGGCTACTGTACTAAATATTAACATAACACAAATAAATACTTTTTAAAAAATCATATATAGAGATTTCCGGATTTTTTTTCTTAGATTATGTCTCTCAAAGTTGACATGCACCTACATTGTAAATGTCAGATTCGTCCATGATTTCTAAGTGGGAGAAGTGGCAAAATAGAAGGGTGTTAAAATACTTATTTTCCTGACTGTAGGCACAAAATGTGAATCTGTTGCTCCTGTAACCATAAATGGCACATTCAATGTGAATTAACCTTTAGACTGTAAGTTTATTATTAGATTTGCCTTTAGAATTGGAGGTAAATTGTTAATGAATCACATTCATGTCTCATTAAACCCGCTCTTTATTTTTGTATACAAAGTAGACATCTTTAATATATTTTATAACTAATATCCAGTTTAAAATAGTATCTGTTTATATTATCTTTAATCAGGCTCACTTACAGAAAAAAAGGCATAGATGTTTTACTTACTTCCTGCTTATTCTCTTTGTTATTTGCTGCTGTTTGGATTTTGGTTGAATCATTACTTGGGTCTCTAAGGGATGGCTGTTCTGACGTAACAACTGTTAATGCCAGATAGTCTTCCTTGCCGTTGGTCTTAGACGTGGCTGCTTGGAAATTACACAGATAACCCTCAGTGCCAGAACATAGATCTCAGAAACAAAGGTTTAATATGACAGACAGCAAAAGTTGGGAACCCTTGAGGAAAATAAGACACTTACCTTTCTGATCTATGTCAACACACAGATTTTTTCCTATCAAAGTCCTGAAAAACTCTGGGACCCATGGTCGACTCTGACTTTTATTTGTTTCTTGTCCCTCTGCACCTCCTGATGCTTTAGCATACAATGGGCTCAACAAGAGAGAAAGAAACAGACACAGCACCTAAAAAAACAGGAACACAGACACAGTTGAAAATGTAACAGGAAGCAGATAAACTTAGAAGCAAGTAGGGTTGGCAGCAGAGCCTCTGAACTGTTTCTTTGATTTGCTTGTGCATTTCAAGATCTTTATAAGCCACATTGACCATTGGTACTGACTTGTTAGGAAAGACACTCACCAGCAGGTTTCCAATGAACACAACCACCATGAAGTAGACGACACATAGGCCATCATTGGAAACCAGCATGCAGTCCCACATGGTCTCAATCCACTCTCCGCAGAGGATTCTGAAGACAAGCAAGATGGAGTGCACAAAGTCGTCCATGTGCCATTCTGGAAGCTCACGATAGTAGTCGTCCTTAAAGAGCTTCATGCCAACCATTGCAAACATGAAGAATGCCCAAAATAGAACGCGACTGAGATTCCCAAATGAAAACCAGGTGATCTTCATCAGCAGGCTCAAGGTGTGCCACCAACGTCCCAACCTCAGTGATACCAGCTGGACAGAGATGGAGCAGATGAGGAAAGTTGAAAATAAGCAAAGAAAAGGTGAGGACAGACTGGAACATATAAGAACAGACAAAAAAATTATATTAAGTTAAAACAGGCATAAGGACAGGGAACTATGCAAGGAAAGGAAGTAAAAGATAAAGGTAGATAAACCCAGACAAATTTGGGTGGTAAAAGATGGCAGCGGGTTGAGACAGGCAAGAACATGTTGCAAGGGATTAGAAAGAGTAGGTACAGAAGGTGGGTGGGGGTGGGGGTTGTGTTCAATTTGTCACAGCCATTTGAGGGGTTTTCACATAGGTAGTAGCATCGGACAGGGAGTTATGGACTGGTTATACTCCAGCAGCAGTGTGTCACAGTGTGCTTGTCGCAGATATTTTTGACTCATGCCCAATATTGAAGCGTGGTCTGCGTTATGTTATTCCACAGCACAATGTTGGAGGTACAATCACGAACTAGTTGTGGGTCTCGATACGGCCGAGGCGGTGAAGAAGTGGGGGGAAGTTTGTGCAACAACGGAGGGAAATGAGGGCAAAACAGAGCGAGGATCCAGGTGGACAAAGGGTCCCAGCGTTCTCCCAATCCTCGCTCTTCTAGCTGGTCCAACTTCACGAGTTGTTTTCATCAAGCCGGCAAGGTACCAAACAGGAAATACGCATAGTGTAGAGCAGATGTACGTAGATTTGACCAATCAGAGGCCTCCTGTCTGCCGCACTGTCTGCGGTCACCTATAATTTTGGAGAGGTGCACCAGAGTGTCTGCGGCAGGGGCGGAGGCCCATTTGCATTCACTGCGACTCACACGAAGACAACCTGGTTTCTGAGTATAAATCAGCATTTAAGGTGCCAGTGACAAGGATTTAACCTGTTAATTCACAGTTATCAGGTCTTATTGAAAACCTATAGTGCCTGTGTAAAAGAAAAAAAGGAAAAAAAATATGATTTAATCCCCCCCCCCCCCTCTGCTAGAGCATCTCGGGATAGGTGAGGCAGGTTAAAAAAAATATTTTATTAGATTAGAACAGGTGAGAACAGATAGCGAAGGGTATGGGAAACATAGGCCAGATTAGGTTGATGAGGAAAGGTAATAACAGATGAGAATGTATTTGGACAGGTGATATTTGGTCAGTAGGTAGCAGACAGAGTTGGGAAAGAACATGAATGATTTACACTAATCAAGGTGGTGATGTCAACATCTTACTGACCAATTGTACTGATCTCAGCACCCATAGTCCCTGCACATCCGCGATCATAAGAAGCAACAGGCCAGAGAGGACAATGATGAAGTCAAATATGTGCCATCTCACCTGTAACCAAAGGAAGACAATCAAGAGCAAGAAAATAGTTACCTAAATTGACTGGCAGGCTCAATTTGTCTGGCCAGCCAGACTCATTTACACGATGTTCACAGCATATTTGTCATAATCCTGGCACTGATGGTTGGGTTTTTACCTCTGCTCCTGCTCACCTGCCTAATTGTTCCCTGTGGCTGATTACTGCCAATCTGATTCACCTGGTCCCTGCAGCTATTTAGGCTGTTTGCTTTCCTGCCATCAGCGTCAGATTATTCAACCTGTCTCTGTTTTGGTTTTTGGCCTGACTGCCTGGATTTAGCCTGTTATCGAACTTGGACTGTTTTTCTGACCTCGGCTTGGATTTCCCCTGGATACCTCTTCGGCTCTCGGATCTCATGGTTTCTGACACTGCTCTGGACTGGATATCGGCTTCGCATAATCCCTCATGGACACTTCAGCTCGCTTGCCGTTGGCTGGCGCCGGCTCCCCCACGCACTGTTCTTTGAAGCGGTAACGACCGCAAGCGGTGGACTGTCTCCCCCTGGGTTTCTCCTCTCTGAGCTTCGAACTGAACTCTCAACCAGAGAATCAGAGAACCCGCTCTGAGGAGTTTCCATCGTCCTCTTTCAGTTATTTTTGAAATAAACCTGTTTTGAAACATTCTGTTGTGGTCCAACTTTCAGTTCCCGTTACAGAATAATCTGACCAAATAATGGACCCATCAGCAGACAACTCCTGGCGCGAAGTAATAGACCAGAAGGTGTCTCAGCTGGAGGCAGGGGTCACTGAGATCCTCGCTCACCTTCGCAGCCAGGCTTCAGCTCCTGCAGCTGCATCCCCTTCAGTCGCGCCTCAGTCTACGCCCCCACCTGCGGCCTTGCCCTATCGGGAACCGCGTCTATCCCCCCCAGAGCTTTACAGGGGCGATCCAGAACAGTGTAGAGCCTTTCTCACCCAGTGTGAAATTCAGTTCGAGCTGCAGCCCTCCGCTTTCCCTTCAGAACGAGCCAAGGTGGCATATGTAATTTAGCTTCTGGCTGGTAAAGCAAAGTTATGGGGGACGTCGGAGTGGCAAAACAACTCATTCCACTGTGAATCTTATGAGGGGTTCTCTGAGGAGCTAGTCCGTGTTTTCAGCCCAATTCTGCCCAGCAGAGAGGCCTCTAGAGGACTATTGATTCTGAAGCAGGGTAACCGATCTGTGTCTGAGTACATAATTGACTTCCACCTGTTAGCTGCAGAGAGTCCATGGAATGAGGCTGCTCTGATGGACATCTTCATCTCGGGTCTTGGAGATCGGATCAAGGACGAGCTCTCCACCCGGGACTATCCTTACTCTCTGAAGGAGCTCGAGGAGTTAGCGTCCAGGATTGACCTTCGCCTTCAGGAGCGACGCAGGGAGCGGGCCCCTCCTGCCCGCCGCTTCCCTTCTACAGCAGTTTTGGAGGATCGTGGAGGAGCTTCGGAACCCCCTCGCTCCTCTGGTCCGGAGCCCATGCAGTTGGGTCGTTCACGCCTCTCCCAGGAGGAGAAGCGCCGCTACAGGTTCCGGCTCTGTCTCTACTGCGGAGGAGAAGGACATTGGTCAGATCGCTGCCCGGTAAAAGGTCAGGCTAAGTAGGGGAGGGAAGGATCCTGCTGAGTCGAGCCAGACTATCTGCCTCCCCAGTGTTTTTGCTACCTGTTACCCTGTCTGTTGGTGCACTCACCCACAGTCTTTCAGCCTTCCTGGACTCCGGAGCAGATACTGAATTCATGGACGGGGACCTGGCCAGGAGACTCGGCATCAAGCTGCTCCCCACACCAGACTCTCATAAGGTAGTTGCTCTTGATGGGCACCAGCTTAATAATTCATCCCTCGTGACTGAACCTTTAGAGCTGGTGGTGGGTGGTAACCATGTAGAGCTTATAACTTTTCTCATTATAGACTCTCCTCAGGTTCCTGTTATTTTAGGTTCTACCTGGTTATCTAGGCACAACCCACACATTGATTGGCGTAGGGTGGAAGTGTTGGGTTGGTCTACTTCCTGTTCTGCATCTTGCTTATGCTCGGCTAGGTCTGAGACGCCTGTACACAGCAAGGACTCTGAGTGTTACCCGGATCTGTCTAGAGTCCCAGTGGAGTATCATGATCTCAGAGAGGTATTTAATAAGGGTAAGGCCACAGCCCTACCTCCCCACAGACCCTTTGATTGTGGGATTGATTTCCTGTCCGGTTCCACACCCCCTAGGGGCAGGCTATACTCTTTGTCAGCCCCTGAATCCCAGGCCATGGAGAGGTACATCTCAGAGTCCCTCAGGGCTGGTATCATCCGTCCTTCCTCCTCACCAGCTGGGGCGGGTTTCTTTTTTGTCGGGAAGAAGGATGGATCCCTCAGGCCCTGCATTGATTACAGGGGGCTCAATGACGTCACGATTAAGAATCGGTACCCCATTCCCCTCCTTAACACAGCTTTTGATCAGATCCAGGGGGCCAGGGTTTTCACCAAGCTAGATCTCCGTAATGCTTACTATTTGGTTCGTATCCGGGAGGGGGATGAATGGAAGACCGCATTCAACACTCCCACCGGCCACTATGAGTATCTGGTGATGCCTTTTGGGCTCACCAATGCACCAGCGGTTTTTCAAAACCTTGTAAAAGACGTACTCAGGGACATGGTGGGACACTTCGTCTTTGTTTACATAGACGATATCTTCATTTATTCCCGGGATTTGGAGTCCCACAAGCAACATGTTAGAGCGGTTCTTCTTCGCCTCTTACAAAACCAGTTGTTTGTTAAGGCCGAGAAGTGTGAGTTCCATGTGAACTCCATTTCTTTTCTGGGTTTTGTCGTCTCCCCTGACCAGATTTCCATGGACCCCTTGAAGGTTCGTGCAGTCACCGACTGGCCGGTTCCTAGAGACAGGAAGCAACTCCAGAGGTTTTAAGGGTTTGCCAACTTCTACCGCCGGTTCATCCGGAATTTTAGTCAGGTTGCAGCACCCCTCCATACATTAACGTCTGCCAAGGTCAGTTTTTGTTGGTCAGATCAGGCAGATCTAGCTTTTCAGAAGCTCAAGGCCGCTTTCACCTCTGCACCCGTTCTGGTTTCCCCCGATCCTGAGAGGCAATTTATTGTCGAGGTGGATGCCTCTAGTTCTGGGGTTGGGGCAGTTCTTAGTCAGGTAGCCAGGGATGGGAGGATTCACCCCTGTGCTTTTTTCTCCAAGAAGCTATCACCTGCTGAAACGAACTATGATGTCGGGGACAGGGAGTTATTAGCAGTCAAGTTGGCTTTGGAGGAGTGGAGACACTGGCTAGAGGGTTCCAGTACTCCATTTCTGGTTTGGACCGATCATAAGAACCTGGAGTATCTGAAGTCTGCCAAAAGACTTAATCCCAGGCAGGCAAGATGGGCACTGTTTTTTGGTCGGTTCAATTTCTCCCTTTCTTACCGACCTGGATCCAAGAATGTTAAGCCTGATGCTCTGTCTAGGGTGTTTGAGGTGGAAGGGGATGGTTCCAGTGGTGCTGAGGAATTTGTCCTACCAGATTCGGTGAGGTTTGCAGTTACGAAGGTCAGCATTGAGAAGGAGGTCAGACAGGCTCTCCTCAACCAGCCTTCCCCCAGTGACTGCCCTACTGACCGTTTGTTTGTTCCTGCTGCTCTTAGAGGGAGGGTCTTGGATTTCTGTCATTGTTCCCACTTGTTTTGTCACCCAGGTATTTCCAAGACCATTAACATTGTTCGGACTCAGTTTTGGTGGCCTTCTCTGTCTGCAGATGTGCGGGAGTTCGTGGCAGCCTGTGCTCTTTGCAACCAATCCAAGGCCTCTAAAAGACCCCCCTCAGGTTATCTCCGGCCTTTGCCTATCCCGTCCCGGCCTTGGTCCCACATTGCTATGGACTTTGTCACCAGGTTGCCCTGCTCTGATGGTTTCATTGTCATTCTCACTGTTATAGACAGGTTCTCCAAGATGGTCCACTTGGTCCCCTTACAAAAACTGCCCTCAGCCAAGCAAATGGGCAAGCTCCTCATTCGTGAGGTTTTTCGGCTCCACGGTCTCCCCACTGACATTGTCTCTGACAGGGGCCCCCAGTTTGTCTCCCGGTTCTGGAGGGAGTTCTGCTCATTGTTAGGGGTCTCTGTCAGTCTCTCATCTGGTTTTCACCCCCAAACAGATGGTCAGACAGAGAGGGACAACCAGGAAATTGAAACTAAGATCCGCATCCTCTGTGAATCAGATCCCTCCAAGTGGGCTAGCCAACTTCCCTGGATTGAGCATGCCATCAACTCTACTCCCTCTAGCACCACTGGACTCTCCCCATTCTATGAAGTGTTTGGTTTTCAGCCACCGGTGTTCACCATACAGGAGAGGGAGTCTAGGGTTCCCTCCGCCCACCTTTCTGCACTTAGGTGTCAGCGGGCTTGGCGTAGGGCCTGGAGGGCCATCACTAAGGCGCTGGTTGGACAAGCTAGGGCTGCCAACCGCCGGAGGGTTACGGCGCCCACTTACCAGGTGGGGCAGAGGGTTTGGCTATCCACTAAGGATCTGCCCCTCAAGGTAGATTGTAAGAAGCTGGCTCCCCGCTTTATTGGGCCTTTCCCCAGTACCAAAGTCGTGAACCCGGTGGCAGTCCGCCTCAACCTCCCTAGATCTTTGAGAATCCATCCCACTTTTCATGTGTCAAGGGTTAAACCCGTTAAGACCTCCAGGTTTTTTCCCACCTCCAGGTCACCACCTCCAGCTCGATTCATTGATGGTGACCCGGTTTACACTGTCCATCGGCTTCTTAGGTCTAGGCGGAGAGGCAGAGGCCTCCAGTATTTGGTCGATTGGGAGGGTTACGGGCCTGAGGAAAGGTCCTGGGTCCCAGCCCGTTTTATCTTGGACAGGGATCTGGTCAGGGCCTTCCACAGAGATCACCCAGACCAGCCCGTTGGGGCGTCTGGAATCCGCCCTCGAGGGGGGGGTTCTGTCATAATCCTGGCACTGATGGTTGGGTTTTTTTCCTCTGCTCCTGCTCACCTGCCTAATTGTTCCCTGTGGCTGATTACTGCCAATCTGATTCACCTGGTCCCTGCAGCTATTTAGGCTGTTTGCTTTCCTGCCATCAGCGTCAGATTATTCAACCTGTCTCTGTTTTGGTTTTTGGCCTGACTGCCTGGATTTAGCCTGTTATCGAACTTGGACTGTTTTTCTGACCTCGGCTTGGATTTCCCCTGGATACCTCTTCGGCTCTGGGATCTCATGGTTTCTGACACTGCTCTGGACTGGATATCGGCTTCGCATAATCCCTCACGGACACTTCAGCTCGCTTGCCGTTGGCTGGCGCTGGCTCCCCCACGCACTGTTCTTTGAAGCGGTAAGAACCGCAAGCGGTGGACTGTCTCCCCCTGGGTTTCTCCTCTCTGAGCTTCGAACTGAACTCTCAACCAGAGAATCAGAGAACCCGCTCTGAGGAGTTTCCATCGTCCTCTTTCAGTTATTTTTGAAATAAACCTGTTTTGAAACATTCTGTTGTCTGCTGAATATTGGGTCCAACTTTCAGTTCCCGTTACAATATTAGTCTTGAAAGAATTGAGGAGACCCTGATTTTAATGTTGGGACAAACCGAGTCAGTGTAAACAGTTTAGCACCAATCAGATAAGTAAGGATGTGACACTCTTTGAGCAGTTAGTTGTTGAAATTTGAACAATTTTAAAATTGCAATTTTGCAGCTGCAATTTTGACTTTAATGGATGATTGGTCCGGTCTGTTTTAGACCAGAGTATTGAACTTAACCAGACATTCAAGTCCTTTACCAGTCAATTTGACTCTTGTCATCAAATATCCATATTGTTGAAACCTTTCAGTGATCCAACGAACCTTTTACCGTTTGATGATGAGAACGGAAAAGGATTGGGTTGGGTGAATAAATCCCTGAATGTAAATTTATGTATGCAAGTAGCCTGAAGCTCTGAGGGGTCAAAAACTACAAAACCTGATCAGCATATGCAGGAATATAGTGTAAAAATCTTTATGAACAACACAAAGTTCAGAGTCATTGAAGATTAAAGCCTAGCTTAATCTGCTGGCTTTAAACATCAGAGGTTTCAGTAGCAGACACGGTAAGGAGGGCTGCAGACAAAGTCAAGCTGATACTCAAGAAGAAGATTTTATGTTAATCCATTTTCTCACCTGGAAGTAGCCTTTAACACCCAGGGCCAAAAGCTTAAGTAGAAATTCTGCTACGTAGATTGCAAGAAACACCTGTAGGTCAGAGGTCAAAGGTCAGCTGACTCCTGCTTGCCCATTAGTCTTTTTATCTAACCTGTAAATAAACTGTAATAAAATTAGGTTGAATTGAAACTGAATAATTAAGAGACTAAACAGATAGTGGTCAAACTTCTGACAGGCTGAAAAAACACTTACTGGTACAAGCAAGAACACTTGAAAATGGACTGAAACCTTACAGTCATTGAACTGACACATAACCGAAAGGGTGCTGATACTAAAACCAGGGTGTGAGAAAGGGGCTTCTCCACCCCCAGCTCATGTCAGGACTGGCCCTCACCAATAAAGGTTAAAGAAGACGGAAACTAGGCAACTGAAAATATCGTGAAGACGGGTGCGTATTTATTTACAGTGCGGAAGTGAGCATACAAAAATATGAGAAACAAAAAAACTGAATAAACGCAAAAGAAAACCGGCCTCAATCAGGCAACACAAAATATAAACTATAACAAAGACTTTAAATACAAACTTCCTTGCACTTACTTTTCCCTTAAACACAGCCTCGCAGCAAGCGTGTGTTCAGCTCACCCTCTCTCTCTAGAATGAAAAAGCCCTGCCCTTTTAAAAGGCTTACAATCTCCAACTTACATCTAATTGGCTCAGAAATCAACCAATAGGAAAATAATGTTACAAAAAGTATTAAAAACACACTTTTAAATCCCCATACAAAATATCATAATATTCCCAAACCAACAATATAAATACTAGAAATGACACAGACAATATTTACACTCATACATGTTTGCAATCCAGCAATACAATAATATTTTCCCCAAAACATTCAACTTCCGGGTGCCAAAAGCTCTCTCCACTGCCAGATCAGTGTATAAGAACTTTGGTTCCGAGAGGCTCTGGTTTCCTCCCGGACCTGATTGTTGACGCACCAGAATGTGAGTAGAGCGGAATGTTTGAATGTAACGTGGGGGTTATTGCAATGCGTATGGATTACGGTGTCGAGAACACGGGTACCGCGCTGCTCGCTAAGATGGTGAGTAACTGAATGTTCGGACCAAATGTACATACTATTTTGCGTGTGTGTCATCTCGCGCTAGCCGCGGTAAAGAGGAAACTTGTAATAAACGAATGTTTGGCAGGTGCAGGTGCTACGTGCACATGCGCATGTGTGTGTGTGTGAATGAGAGTGTCTGTGAGTGTCGGCGAGTTCTGTGAGTGTAGGCGAGTGTAGGTAGTGGCGTTTCTGTGAAAAATGTAGTTACTATGTAATTACCATCCCTGGTCATTTTTCACACAGGGTGAAACTGGATTGTCAGAAAGCCTGAAGAAAACTAAGAGAAAAAAGTGGAAAAAAATAGGACAAAACTAAACTCAAAACCAAAGCTTCATAGAAACCTTTAGCAGACTCAGGACAATAGATATTAATATGTCTTGTCATTACAATGATTGGCAAACTATATGGACAACAATCATCAGAGTATTCCCTTTAAATGTATTCATAGGTCTTATTCAACTACTCACAAACCAAAACATATGAAATTTAGGGATCATTCATATTGTAACTTCTGTCCAGGCAATACCATTACTACCTATTATCATTTGGTTTGGCACCGCCCTGAGGTTAACAGAGTTTGGAACAATGTCTCAAACACCTTGTCATTCTTAACAAGAAAGACCATCCCTCATTCTCAGTGTTTGCTATTACTTAATGAAACTTAATCTTTAAAATTAACTAAGTGACAAACGCTCACTGTTTGCTGGCCTAACAGCCGCTAAAAGAGTGATAGTTTGCTGTCAGGGACCACCACATACACTATCAATGAAGGAATAAATTCTATCTTACTAGGACATTGCACAAATGGATCTCTTGACAGCTTGCCTACATCATGTAAAAATATGTAATCTTAATTATTGGTCTAAACCAGGGGTAACCAATTATAAAATCAGCGGGGTCCGAATAAAGAAAATCATCAACCAGTAAAGGTCAATTTTAATCTGTTACTCTAAACAGAATTTAACACTGAAATAAAATGAGATTTTTATACCACTGTGTTATACATTTAATTTTTAAATAAAGATATATATATAAAATAAAATGTTTCCCTTTTAAAATCTAAAGTGTTTTTTGAAGTAGAAAACAATAATTGTTAAATTTGGTATATAGACAATTTCATGATTCTCATATTTTAAAAAACACCTGAACTGACTGTTATTTATTTTTTTGTTTCTTTTTTATGTCTTAATGAGAGCAGTTGTCATGGTCTTGGTTCTGCTGTTCTTTACTTTGCTCCTTGTTTTCTAGATTTATTGGTTTAATTCCAGTTTTGCTGTATTTCTAGATTTATATTAGTTCTCATGTTTTTCTGTTGTCCTCTTTTGCCCTCTTGTGTGTGTGTGTTCCTTTCCCCTTGGCTCCCTCATTGTCTCCTCTCACACCTGCTCCTTGTCTGCTCGTTAGCCCTCCCTTTGTCTCTCTCTGCTATATATGCTCTCCCTCTGCTCTCACTCTTTGTTGGTTCCTTGTCTTTGCTGTCCTCCCGTGCTGTTGTCCACGTTCCTCGTCTCTCCCTGGCTCCTTGTGTTTGGTTTCCCCCAGATGTCTCCATAGTTCTGGTTTGCTTTGATTATTAGTTGGATTTTTGCATTCCTGCCTTTGTTACTGTTTTTGCCCCATTAAACTCCCAAGAAATCTCCTCAGCCTCTCTGCCTCTGCATTTGGGTCCTCTACCACAACCAAACCCTGACAATAGGAACCAACCACAATGGACCCAGCAGAGCCCAGTCTGGACACCCTGAGGGACTTTTTCCTCAATCTAGGCAATACTCTGGACTCAATATCCAACCTTACACCGCCTTGGAAGAGGGTGAGTGCAACTAGCCAACTTAAACAGATTCTCCTCTCAAACTCCACACTCATTTCTCCCCAGTATTATCTGAACTGTTTGAAGAGTTGGAGTGGAACCACCAAGCAGCCAGCGCCCAACTCTTCAGCAGACCTCCACCACCCAAACCATCTCTTCATCTCCTCCCTACCTTGCTGTCAATCGCCTCCGGTCCTGTTCCACCACCTTCACCAGCTGTTGGTCCCCCCATGCCGTCTGCCTCCTCCAGGCGTAAGCGCCGCCGGGGGAAGAAATCCACTCCCTCTCCGGCGGGTCAGCTTGACGCCACCACTCCCTCTCCGGCGAGTCAGCTTGGCGCCTCCAGTCCCTCTCCGGCGGGTCAGCCTCACGCCTCCACTCCCTCTCCGGCGGTTCAGCCTCACGCCTCCACTCCCATGGGTCAGCCAGCTGCCAGCCTTAGCTCCCCTCATAACCAGGTCAGTTTCTCCCTAAATCTCAGTCGTCACCTCCATGACCAACAGCTAGCCCCATCCTTAAAGAAACTCATTATTACACCCTCTACAGTCAGAGCTCCCCATATTGAGGAGTCTCAATTATGGACCTTCTTTTATGGGGAGAGGGAGGATCTTTTCCTTTTCCTGCCACCTCCATTAGCTCCAGTGCCCAGTAGAGGGCCAGATTCCCTAGCTCCAGTGCCCAGTAGAGGGCCAGATTCCCTAGCTCCAGTGCCCAGTAGAGGGCCAGATTCCCTAGCTCCAGTGCCCAGTAGAGGGCCAGATCCCCTAGCTCCAGTGCCCAGTAGAGGGCCAGATCCCCTAGCTCCAGTGCCCAGTAGAGGGCCAGATCCCCTAGCTCCAGTGCCCAGTAGAGGGCCAGATCCCCTAGCTCCGGTGCCCATTAGTGGGGCGGTTTCTCCAGCGCCAGAGACTCCTGAACCCATTAGCGGGCCGTTTAGCCTAGGGACAGAGACTCCTGAGCCCATTAGCGGGCCGTTTAGCCTAGCGCCAGAGACTCCTGAGCCCATTAGCGGGCCGTTTAGCCTAGCGCCAGAGACTCCTGAGCCCATTAGCGGGCCGTTTAGCCTAGCGCCTGAGACTCCTGAGCCCATTAGCGGGCCGTTTAGCCTAGCGCCTGAGACCCCTGAGCAAGCCCTGAGCCATCTTGAGTCGGCTCTGTGCCTTTTAGAAACCCCTGAGTCAGCTCTGTACCGTTTAGAGACCCCTGAACCAGCTCTGAGCAGTCTAGAGACCCTTGAGCCGGTTCTGAGCCGTCTAAAGACCCCGGAGTTAGTTTGGTGCCGTCCAGAGACCCCCGGGTTAGCTTTGTGCCGTCCAGAGACCCCTGAGCAGAACTTAAAGGAGGTGTCTGAATTCGAGGTATGTGGCTTTACGCCTCCTAGGACCTCTCTGCAGGCGCTCCAGACTGCCAAGAGCCCTCTGCGGGCATCACAAGCCACTTCAGAGACTGAACCTTTGCCGCCATGGGCGGTTTCTTCCATGCTGGATTTGGAGCCACAGTCGGTGGTCTTCTCTGTTCCTGTCCAGGGGCCGCAATCGGCGGGCCCCTCTGTTCCTGAGCCGCAGTCGGCGGTAGCCTCTGGGGGTGTTCCTGAGCCGCAGTCGGCGGTAGCCTGTGGGGGTGTTCCTGAGCCGCAGTCGGCGGTAGCCTCTGGGGGTGTTCCTTAGCCGCAGTCGGCGATCCCTCCTGCTCCGGTTCCTGAGCCGCAGTCGGCGATCCCTCCTGCTCCGGTTCCTGAGCCGCAGTCGGCGATCCCTCCTGCTCCGGTTCCTGAGCCGCAGTCGGCGATCCCTCCTGCTCCGGTTCCTGAGCCGCAGTCGGCGATCCCTCCTGCTCCGGTTCCTGAGCCGCAGTCGGCGATCCCTCCTGCTCCGGTTCCTGAGCCGCAGTCGGCGATCCCTCCTGCTCCGGTTCCAGAGCCGCAGTCGGCGATCCCTCCTGCTCCCGTTCCAGAGCCGCAGTCGGCGATCCCTCCTGCTCCGGTTCCAGAGCTGCAGTCGGCGATCCCTCCTGCTCCGGTTCCAAAGCTGCAGTCCGCGGTCCCCTCAGAGACTGTTGCTGAGCTCCTGAAATGCAGACGTCGTCCTCCAAGGTTCCTGCGGCTGCGTCTGAGGCGTCGTCCTCCAGGGTTCCTGCGGCTGCGTCTGAGGCGGCGCCCTCCAGGGTTCCTGCGGCTGCGTCTGAGGCGGCGCCCTCCAGGGTTCCTGCGGCTGCGTCTGGGGCAGCGCCCTCCAGGGTTCCTGCGGCTGCTTCTGGGGCGGCGTCCTTCTCCAAAGGTTCTCCTTCGTCAGTGACGGCGTCGCCGCCGGCGTCCTCCAGAGACCCTCCTTCGTCAGTGACGGCGTCGCCGCCGGCGTCCTCCAGAGACCCTCCTTCGTCAGTGACGGCGTCGCCGCCGGCGTCCTCCTGAGCTTCTGCCTCGCCTCGGGCCCCGCCCGGCCTCCTGAGCTTCTGCCTCGCCTCGGGCCCCGCGGCCGGCCTCCTGAGCTTCTGCCTCGCCTCGGGCCCCGCGGCCGGCCTCCTGAGCGACTCTTCCTGGCCTCGGGCCACACGGCCGCCCTCCAGAGAGACTCTTCCTGGCCTCGGGCCACACGGCCGCCCTCCAGAGAGACTCTTCCTGGCCTCGGGCCACACGGCCGCCCTCCAGAGACTCTTCCTGGCCTCTGGCCACACGGCCGCCCTCCAGAGACTCTTCCTGGCCTCTGGCCACACGGCCGCCCTCCAGAGACTCTTCCTGGTCTCGGGCCACACGGCCGCCCTCCAGAGACTCTTCCTGGCCTCGGGCCACACGGCCGCCCTCCAGAGACTCTTCCTGGCCTCGGGCCCCGCGGCCGCCCTCCAGAGAGACTCTTCCTGGCCTCGGGCCACACGGCCGCCCTCCAGAGAGACTCTTCCTGGCCTCTGGCCACACGGCCGACCTCCAGAGACTCTTCCTGGCCTCGGGCCACACGGCCGCCCTCCAGAGAGACTCTTCCTGGCCTCTGGCCACACGGCCGCCCTCCAGAGACTCTTCCTGGCCTCTGGCCACACGGCCGCCCTCCAGAGGCTCTTCCTGGTCTCGGGCCACACGGCCGCCCTCCAGAGACTCTTCCTGGCCTCGGGCCACACGGCCGCCCTCCAGAGACTCTTCCTGGCCTCGGGCCACACGGCCGCCCTCCAGAGACTTTGTTTGCCCTCGCCCACCTTGGGTGGGTTGTTTTGGTTTTTGTTTGGACTCTGCGTTTGGTTTTGTATTTCGTGCCCTCCTTCCTGGTTCCCCCTCCGCCCACCCAGGGTGGGTTATTTTTTTGTTTCTGGACATTTTAGGGCGTCTGGGATCCGCCCTTAAGTGGGGGGCACTGTCATGGTCTTGGTTCTGCTGTTCTTTACTTTGCTCCTTGTTTTCTAGATTTATTGGTTTAATTCCAGTTTTGTTGTATTTCTAGATTTATATTAGTTCTCATGTTTTTCTGTTGTCCTCTTTTGCCCTCGTGTGTATGTTCCTTTCCCCTTGGCTCCCTCATTGTCTCCTCTCACACCTGCTCCTTGTCTGCTCGTTAGCCCTCCCTTTGTCTCTCTCTGCTATATATGCTCTCCCTCTGCTCTCACTCTTTGTTGGTTCCTTGTCTTTGCTGTCTCTCCCTGGCTCCTTGTGTTTGGTTTCCCCCAGATGTCTCCATAGTTCTGGTTTGCTTTGATTATTAGTTGGATTTTTGCATTCCTGCCTTTGTTACTGTTTTTGCCCCATTAAACTCCCAAGAAATCTCCTCAGCCTCTCTGCCTCTGCATTTGGGTCCTCTACCACAACCAAACCCTGACAGCAGTGGGCATTACGCTGCCCTGCAAGGCTTTAAGCCTGGGTTTGAATGGCGACACAGCCATTCTCAAGCACATATCAAGGTGCTCCTCTTGAGCCTGCTCGATATTTCTTTTTGATTATGGTCATTGTGGGGAATCCTGCTTTACAGCACTAGGTTGAGCCACACATTCTCAAAATGTGTAGGGTCATCTTTGAGCACGCCATTGCACTTTTCTTTCACCAGTTCACTACGGTTCTTCCAGGAGTCTACACTTTCTCTGCTTTCCTTGTTACATATCTTTTCTATGTACAAACTTAATATATCAATGAAATAAAAAATGTATCACAAAAAGGAAACAGAATGAGACTGAGTAAAACTTTGAAAAAAAGTTCATACCTGATTAAACCACAGTGAAACTGGACTAAAATTGGACTAAAACGGAAATGGAAATTAAGAAAAACCTGACTAAATATAAAATAAAACCTTTAATTTATCCAAATCACTTACCTCGTTTAGCAAGAACAGATTTTCAAATTCAGGTGTCATTGGATAATGTTCCATGGCCATAAGGATAGTGTTTAAGATGATGCAAATTATTATTCCTAGTTCAAAAAAACGATTCATCACAATCGGACGGAGCTTTTGTTTAAGCCATTGTGAGCAACTGCAGCAGTCATTCTCCAGGACTCTGTTCCAATGAGAGCTGCACAAAGGCTTGACTTTATCCGCATCATCTGAAATACAAAGGGTACAGTAATGCCTACAAGAGCAGTTCATAGACAGCCTACCACCATTAGTTTATCACCTAGATGTCCTGCCTCGACAAATGATGGCACTCAACTTTAGCATTGGCAGCACAGCCCTCACAAACAATAATCGTCACATACCTTCCCCAGTGAGAGGTTCCTGTTCCTTAGTATTTGCTGCTGGTTTCTTCTTATGTGCTGAATCAAGATCTTCCAAGAGCTCTGTCCCATCTGTGGCCTGTTGACCAAGTAAAATGTCAGCTCTAGGGTCAGGGTAAGCCATTAACACCAAAAACTTTCCTATCCTCTCTTATTTGTGCCCGCAATTATTAACCATAAATACCTGAAATACTTTAATAAGTATATATTTAATAAGCAATACAGCTGAAGGCTGTCTTCCAGCCACTGTGGCAAGGTAACTAATAAATATTGTTTAAAACAAGAAAACCTAAAACCTATATCAAATATTTTAACATTTGTTATCTAATGTTAAGATCATATCTACCACATTAAATTATTTTATTAGAAATAGAATATGTTGAAATACATGAACTTACCTTTCAGTAAAGCTATTTTTGTTGCTTTTATCGGCTGATGCAAACTGCATGACCTGAAAAAATTGAGGAGCGTTCCTATTTTGGACCACCTGTCCCCAGAAACATCTCAGATTATAACATCTGATAATGTTAATGAAAAAAAAAACATTTCATATAATCTCTTACTAAGGTAGTCGTGTAAGAGAGAGTGTGTTTCTCATAACAGCTGTTAAAGTAGTGATTTATGATGGCTGACCATGCTGCAAAGGATAAAAGAGCAGTCCGACTTGACATTACCTGTCCTGTCATATATTGAGGTAATCAGAAGTGGGCAGAACCTTCATCAGCCTGTAACTAATAAGTGAAAACAGCAGGAAGCTGGGCTGTTTTTAAAACATTTTTGCTATGAGTTGGATAAACAAACTCAAATCCTTAAAAAATCTGTTAAAATATCAGTAAGACCACTTTTGGTTGATGCTCTATGGTCATATTAGTTTTTAGCCAATTGTAAATTTTGATTTGCGATAAACAGGACATTTTGCCAGTCACTCTTAATTTGCAGGACTTGTAATCTTAATATGTTTAAAGTAGCCAATGCTTCTGTTTTTTTAATTATTTAAATAATAAGCTTCAGATAGATATTTACAGATCATTAGGTGTGTGTGTGTGTGTGTGTGTGTGTGTGTGTGTGTGTGTGTGTGTGTGTGTGTGTGTGTGTGTGTGTGTGTGTGTGTGTGTGTGTGTGTGTGTGTGTGTGTGTGTGTGTGATAACATCTTTGGAATCGAAGATGCAATTGTCTGTTTTTGGAATATTAAAATGTTATTATAATTTCGGGTGATGCTTGGAAAATAGACAACAATCTGAAGAAAATAAGCGTTTTATTCCTTTCTCCTCTTATCCATCACTTGTCATCTCATTCTTTCTCTTTTATTCCAGCCTTAAAAACATAGGTACATAATGCATGCTGCACAAAGATGTATTAATATGATGGAGAGGTAGACAGTTTTGTAGTATTAATAAGTTACCCTTTTTGGAAGAAGTTAATGTGTAGTTGCACTAATTTTTTTGGACTCATTAGTTGGCTTGACTTGACACCTTTGTCAGAATACATCTCTAGACAGGTTAAATTAAATACTCTAGTCTAATTTGAGAGATTTTTTAGCCAGTCACAGCATGGGAAGTATGATCATAATGCAAAAGTGTTTTCCTGTAACCATAACAGATAAGATTGCACCTGCATTGTTTTACTAATTGTAAACTGATTGTTTTTAAAATGTTTCCAATGACTGTGCTAGATCTTTGTTTCAGAACTGGCTCTACCAAGAATAATTTGCCACGCACAGACATAAGTCAGTGTGGTTGCCCAGGCTGGCAAAATACTACTCACTGCTTCTGGAAGGGTTACATGGACAGAGCGAGTCCAATCAACACACACCAACAAAGATTCAAACGTTTTCTATCGGAAAAACATCAGATTTAATAATTGACTTGCAGAAGTTAAATCTGGATGGTTATGGAGGCACAGAAGCTTTCATTAGCTTTTTTCAGCAATACCTCATATCGAGCCTGAATTCAGCAACATTTGAAGGAAAGATATCTTTTAATTCAACAAAGCTAATCTTCATCTGCCATGACTAGCCAGAAGTTTGAAGGGACAGGGCATGCACACACTTGATATTGAATTTAAAATGTGTTAATCCGGTTCGGGTGATTTAAGAAGGTGAAGTTTGCCAGAAGAATCATTCATGCACGAACTGCCACTGAAAAAAGAAACTCACCTCCTTCTCCTCTCTCTTTTTTAGCACCTTTACAATTCGAGTGAACTCTTTTTCAGCTTTTTTGGCTTCAGCAGCCTCAGCCTCCTCTTGTTTCACCAGCAATATCGCAACTGCTGCCACAATGAGGCTTACCACCACAAAACATCCGGGAAAGAATATGAGCACATAGGCACTCACATAGGGTTTACCTATTACTTCCAAAGTCTGGGGGGGGGAAAGTGCATGTATAAAGATGTGACAAGGAGAAAAGATCATCAGCACCAAGAAGCTAAGGGTACCAAAACCAGTTTCTTTACTGGGACCAGTTTGGTCCTTACCATTTTCATAAGCCTATCGAAGAAGTCCTGAGTCAATATTCTCAACACAGACAGCAGAGACCAACCAAATGTGCCAAAGCTGGTGAATCCATGGTCTGGGTTCTTCCCAAGTCTTAAACAAAGGGAATCTGGACACTCCCTGAAGACATAACCACATGCTGTTATTTTTGTTGATGTCTCTTAAAGAACCTGTTTAAAGTGTTTACATACCTAGCATATGAGCTGTTCCCACATAAAAAGTCTCCAAAAGCAAACTCTGTCAGAAAGAGAAATATATGAGCTTTCATTTGTGTAGTGTACTGTTAGCTAATTACATTTCCTCAATTGACCTTGAAATTAAGAACAATTTTAGGTGAAAATTGTTCTTAATTCTCACCTAAAAAAATCAGATGATGTCTTTATCATACCTTCAGAAGAGTTGGGGTTTGCATAGGGCCAAGGGGTTGGTGTGTCATTCATTCCAGATGGTGAGCTCATAACACACCTATTGCTCAACTGACCCATGAAAAGCTGCATGCCAAGCACAGTTAAGATACTCAGGACAAATACCCCAAGGACCATGACATCAGCCAGCTCCTTGAGTGAATGCACAAGCTTTTCGACCGTCTTCTTCAGACCTGAGGGGACGCATAAAACCCAATGAGAGATAAAAAATGCCTTGACAAATGTTGACAAACACTATGACCTAGCACTCATTTTGGGAAATCCTCACCTATTTTGCCTACCCAAAAGGAAAAGCATATAACTTAGGAAATGTAAGCCCAAATTACATGTGCAATACATTATTTGAAAGCTAACACCTTCTAGTTTCTGAATATATAAAAATTGGGTGAGTAGAACACAGACCAAGCTGCATCAGTTCAAACATGACTCAAAGTTGTTTTTTTTATGCTTGAAAATGATAGGTCTTTTTTGTACAGAACTAATAAAGACATACTTGAGAAAAGGCAGGTCTCATTGTATCACATTTGTTGTTATACATCACGTAAACCAAAAATGCAAAAAATTTCAGACCTCTACCTACAACAGCTCCAGAGCTGTGGGGCTTTTGACTTTTGGTATTAACCAGCAAATCCATATCTTTCCAAATGTGCCAATTTGTGCCAAATGCATTTACTATGCTTGGCTTTACTATTTTGCTTTACTATTACTATTATCAGTGAAGCATTTTGATGACCGCAAAACATTTATGAAGCAAGTATTTTCCAGTTTTTTCAGAATCAGTGTACATAACAAAATGTAAAAGCTTGGAGCCGGGCGCACTGATGCACCCACAGTTATGTGTTTCAGTCTTAACGCAAGCCAGTAAAATGGATGTGCCTTTTATAAACTTGCCATGTGTAGGCTTGTTTGAAACCTTATTTAATTGGCTACAAAACCCAACAGCCCACATGGTCTTAACCAATAACAGCGGGACTCTATGAGGCGTAATATCGCGCTACTCGGTGCATCACTGGCTGACAGGAAGTGACCGGAAGTGAGATTTCATTGACTGCTCAAATCGCGTCATAAAAAGATGCGGACACTTTTGTCTTGTATGTAAGATAACGATGTAAAGAACCATACCAAACATCGCAGGCTAACAACTGATATCAACAACCGGATGTTATGGCCGATTTTCCTTTTCTCATCATAGAATAATTGTATTACGAATATGCTGGATTACTTTTCATCTATGGACCCTTATGGAGTAATGGAGTATAAACAATTGAACATTGGATTTATAAAACGGCTTCTGGATGCCTTCAAAGTAATATAGTTGTGATTTTTTTGTCATGTTTACATTTTGACATGCTGCTATATCTGTGTTAAATATGCTTTTGGCTGGCTATGTACTTAAAATATACTTGGTGGTTAAATTGTGGAGAATTTAAGCTTTCCAATGATGTTTAACATGTCTTTATCGGTAAACCTTTTACTTGTGGAATTTTCATGCATTCTAAGTTATTAGTTGTAAATGCTTTAAAACGGGTCACAGGTGACCCGTTGGGTTTAAAGAGGCTAGATGACTGAGAATCTTCACCAGCAACCTTATTTAAACCATTTCATACTGACTCATACTACAGTAACTGACTGTCCTACACTGACTGACAATCTTGACTACTGACTAAAACTGACCATACTAACGCATACTGAATGACAACCTCCCAGACCAACCCCCAGACTTTCTCTCACTGACAATTGCTTACATTGACATACTCTGACACAGACAAACTCAAACTGACTCAGACTGACACAGTCATTAACAGTAACTTAAACTAACATATCAGCTTGCCACTGTTGGCATGTGAAGGTGTGGATTAATGGTTGAATGACTGAATATAGAGTAAGTTACTTATGGGTTGCTGGACTAGACGAACCAATATATAAGTACAGGCCATTTACCACTTACCGTCAACATACATTGTCTCACACAGACTAAGTGACTCACACAGGCTAAAACTTAAATAACCACAGATAAAGGCTGATACAAATTCATGATGATACTGATGAAGTGGTGTCAAAAGTACACACATTAGTTTCTTAAGTAGAAGTATAGATACTGCAGTTTAAAAACACTCTGGTAAAAGTTGAAGTATCAACTTGACCTCAAGTAAAAGTGAAAAACTATGTGCTCCAAAAACTACTTAAATTATAAAAGTATAAAGTAACCTTTAAAAAAAACTGTTTGATGCCACTATATGAATTGAAAGCTCAATTTTTTTGACTATTTCGAAAAATTCTTTGAGATAGGGCCAAGGATGAGGAAGGTCTTGTTGGTCTCCGTCTCCATCTCCCAATATGCTTTCGCCTGTGTCCGACCTTTCAGACATTTCAACATCTTTTTTCTGGATCCAACATTGTAGCGTGGCATTGACAATTCACACTTGCGGTTTGAAGAGCACCTGCTTTAGTTAACCAATGAGTGTTTGCATTATATGACTGTCGTGGGAAAAAAGTATTCAACTATTCATCCTAGTTAAATAAACGGAGATCGATGGATTTCACTCAGTCGGCACATTTATTAATATCTTTGCAAAGAGAGAACAGTCATCATGGCACAGCATTCTGCTCTGTTCTGATCTGGGCAGGGTTCGTTCCCCCCTAGTTACAACAATCGAAAGCAGTAAAGAATCTGGATTGTTATGGGAAGAAGCTATGTCTGGTCTACAAACAACATTCTGCAGGGAATGGTGTGGCCTTGAGAGAGAAACAGACTGAGTGAAAACTTTTATAGTGAGTAAATATGAATATTAATATATAATGAGAGAAAGATATAAATTTTCCCACAACAATGACTCATCCAATTACATTAGTTTTCACTAGATGTGGATGGCACCAATAATCTGCATTGGATGGCGTACATGACGTGAAATAAATATTTATAAACACTGAACGAAGCCAAGAGTAACGAGTAACGTTTGTTTTAAAAATGTAAGGAATAGAAAGTACAGATACTTCTGTGAAAATGTAATGAGTAGAAGTCAGAAGTAGGAAGAAAAATAAGTAATGGAGTAAAGTATAGATACCTAAAAAGTGTACTTAAGTACAGTAACGAAGTATTTGTACTTCGTTACTTGATACCTCTGCACTGATGTCATGTACAAAAACAACAACAAAAAATTGACATTTATATTCAGACACAATTATCATTGTTTGTTTTTCAGTCACACAAACAAAAGCTTTTGACTTCAACTGATTTGTGCAATCTAACCCAAAACTTAACCCAACCATCAGTAGTATATACAGGTGCTGGTCATAAAATTAGAATATCATGAAAAAGTAGATTGATTTCAGTAATTCCATTTAAAAAGTGAAACTTGTATATTATATTCATACATTACATACAAACTCATATATTTCAGATGTTTATTTTGTTTAATTTTGATGATTACAAATGACAACAAATGAAAATCTCAAATTCATCATATCAGAAAATTAGAATATTACTGAAGACCAATAAAAACAAAGGATTTATAGAAATGTTGGCCAACTGAAAAGTATGAACATGAAAAGTATGAGCATGTACAGCACTCAGTATTTAGTTGGGCCTCCTTTGGCCTGTATTACTGCAGCAATGCGGCGTGGCATGGAGTCGATCAGTCTGTGGCACTGCTCAGGTGTTATGATAGCCCAGGTTGCTGTAATAGTGGCTTTTAGCTCTTCTGAATTGTTGGGTCTGGTGTATTGCATCTTCTTCTTCACAATACCCCATAGATTTTCTATGTGGTTAAGGTCAGGAGAGTTTGCTGGCCAATTAAGAACAGGGATACCATGGTCCTTCAACCAGGTACTGGTAGCTTTGGCACTGTGTGCAGGTGCCAAGTCCTGTTGGAAAATGAAATCTGCATCTCCAAAAAGTTGGTCAGCTGCAGGAAGCATGAAGTGCTCTAAAACTTCCTGGTATGTGGCTGCGTTGACCCTGGACCTCAGAAAACACAATGGACCAACACCAGCAGATGACATGGCACCCCAAACCATCACTGACTGTGGAAACTTTACACTGGACTTCAAGCAACGTGGATGAAGTGCCTCTCTTCTTTTCCTCCAGACTCTGGGACCTTGATTTCCAAAGGAAATGCAAAATTTACTTTCATCAGAGAACATGACTTTGGACCACTCACCAGCAGTCCAGTCCTGTTTCTCTTTAGCCCAGGCAAGACGCTTCTGACGCTGTCTGTGGTTCAAGAGTGGCTTGACACAAGGAATGCGACAGCAGAAACCCATGTCTTTCATACGTCTGTGTGTGGTGGTTCTTGAAGCACTCACTCCAGCTGCAGTCCACTCTTTGTGAATCTCCCCCACATTTTTGAATGGGTTTTGTTTCACAATCCTCTCCAGGGTGCGGTTATCTCTCTTGCTTGTACACTTTTTTCGACCACATCTTTTCCTTCCCTTCGCCTCTCTATTAATGTGCTTGGACACTGAGCTCTGTGAACAGCCAGCCTCTTTAGCGATGACCTTTTGTGTCTTGCCCTCCTTGTGCAAGGTGTCGATGGTCGTCTTTTGGACAACTGTCAAGTCAGCAGTCTTCCCCATGATTGTGTAGCCTATAGAACTAGACTGAAAGACCATTTAAAGGCTTTTGCAGGTGGTTTGAGTTAATTAGCTGATTAGAGTGTGGCACCAGGGGCCATCAATTTTGAACCTTTTCACAATATTCTAATTTTCTGATATGATGAATTTGAGATTTTCATTTGTTGTCATTTGTAATCATCAAAATTAAACAAAATAAACATCTGAAATATATGAGTTTGTATGTAATGTATGAATATAATATACAAGTTTCACTTTTTAAATGGAATTACTGAAATCAATCTACTTTTTCATGATATTCTAATTTTATGACCAGCACCTGTATATTAACTTTAGTTTAACTAGATTCACTCTTTAGTCGTCAATTCACTTTGCATCACACAAATATATGAGGAAAACCAACGATTTTTGTGATAGCTAAACAGATGTAATGAGGTAATTTTTAAGTACATCTCACATAAAAAGGTCCAACACATTTAATAAAATGGACCAACACACCAACCTGGTCTGTAGCTGAAGAGCTTCAATACACGAGAAATCGTTCTCAAAGCATCTAATTCATTAAAAGGATCACATAGAAAGAAAACAGTCCTGAAACAAAAAAAATAACCCATCATTACACAATCAGTATAGTCAACAAACAAATGACTGTTCACCAGGCCTGTATTCCATTTCCCCATTCTATTCATCGAGTGTGGGTGTTGTGTGCATATCAGGTGAGTGAATATCAACTGGTTTTCAGATGTGTGCCTATATTAGGTTAGTACCAGGTACGACGATCTGTCTTTGTGTTAGACAAATATCAGTTGAGGCTTTATGATTTTGCGCTGCTGGAAAAAACAAAACGTAGATTTGTTTAAGAAAATTATCAGGGATTGATGTATTTTCTTCACGAGACCTCGTCTTATCAAAAAAGATCCTGATTTTATTTTCTTTGTTTGTTATATAAAGCCTTTGGTCAAATAAAACCTGTGATAAAATCAACTGTAAAAAGATGATCCCAGAAAGCTGAAATTGGTTTGCTGGGTTACTTTGAGGTTTTAGACTGGGAGGTATCCTACAAGCCCCATTATGAACCAGTCTGCTGTGGATAAATCCAGATGATAGAGGTTGTGGACCCCTTTCCTGCAGAATGGTAAAAATCACATCTTGAATTAAAAGAAAAAAAAATAGATGATTAAAGATTTTCATACAAAAAGGAAAGTACCAAGTACAAATTCCTATCCTAGTAGAAGAAATATCTTAGTATTTATCTGGACAACAGCTTGGAGTCAGATGCCACAGTTAGAAGGAACATAGCAAACTCTACTTTTGAAAAAAAATTATTTAGGGTTAGTTAGATTATGTAGATACTTTACCAATCTCTTTTCGCAGTGCACAATTGCTCTTGCAATCACATGTGGAGGTAGCCAAGGGTCTAAAAAAGTTCAACAAGCTGAATATAAAATGTCTGGTTTCATCGAACGGAGCCAGTTGAGGTGGCTCGGACATCTATTCCGGATGTTCAATCAAATAATTCCCTATAAAACTGCTGAGAAAGAGACTTCTTCCAGTCTATATACATGAGTTCTGATATCTAATATCCCTTAAGGGTTAAAGAATGATGTTTTAAGAGAACTGATTATGATTATCTGTGAGTCACGTAGGTTTATCAGGTGTCACTATATCGGGTGTTTATCATTTGTGTTTCTCAGTTGTGTGTTTGGGTGTTTTTTGTATTTACACGGTGATGTTGAGGATATCCAGCCAGTTCCAGGGATCCCTGAGGGAGGTGAATTGTCCAAAGCCCACGCCTCTGGACAAAAACTTCAGGAGGAGCTCAAGGGTGAAGATACTTAACAACACACACCTGTCCACACACAGTTGATATTAAAATTATATAAATATGTATAGATATATATAAATAATCTAACTGTAATGTTTAAATGATGTAGTATCTAAACTATTGATAGTATTAGAAAAGATTTTATAAGACTGTTAAGAACCCTAACAGAGCTAGTTACATATTTTCTCTTATCTCAGAGGAAAACAATGTCAATTGCAGTAGCAGCAACGGCCCATTCTCACAAAGAATCACAAGATAAAAAATGTATCTTTCTCACTGAGCAAAAACTCGTTCAAAAGACATTAAAAAGACAATGTTATTTATGCCCAAACAATGTCTACATTTGGTTGAAAAGCCTTCATTTTCAGATTGTTGAAAACAAGTTAAAAGTGGGTTTGTGACCAAACAGCCCAAGTTTCAACAACATTTTTTTGATTACATCAAGGCTATGATGGACCGACCAGATTTAGCCTGAAAAAAAAGTCTAATTGATGTCTGGTGTTTGGGGGGGATGTGATCATTTGAGAAGAATCTTGCAATTTCCTGAAATCTAAGATTTTTCTTAAAATTGTACCTCCCTAAAATAAAAAATTCTTCACAAATCACCCTAGATCCAAAGGTAGCTTCTGAAGTGATAAAATGTGAGGAGTAGTGAAGAAAGTTTTGAATGAACCTAAAAAAAGAGAGAGCTGTTTGGCCAATGCAACCCCTAAACATTGGATTTATTGAGGATATAATCCCCTTAAAAATCATTAATTTATTAATATGGAATTAAGATCCACTTTATCGTCCACATAAGGAGATATTGATGAGCTTTAGCAGTTGGATGGGTTAAACGTGAGCTACTAAACAGAATTTTGTGGAGGATTGATAAATGGTACATTACCTGTACTTATATTGTGTCTTTCAAGTCAAGAGATTCCAAAAAGCTTTACATTCAGTCATTTACACACTGATGGTGGCAGGCTACACTGTAGCCACAGCTGCCCTGGGGCACACTGACAAAAAGGCTACTGTACACAAGTGCAAACAGGTCTCTAACTGCCGCAGGAAATGTGTGTAATGTGTCTTGCCCAACAACACAATGACTAAGAAATTAAGCTGGACTTCAAACCTCCAACCCTCCAGTTGCAGAATGGACTCCTTTATCCTATGCCACTGTTGCCCCTATAATGTTACAAATATTAAATAACTATCAATAAAAAGTGGGGAAATGTAAAAAATAATATAGTACAGATAATATCAGTACTGTTTGATTAAAAGTGGAAAAATGTTACAGAGTAATATATATATGTTTGGACAGTCCAGACAAGATTAAAAAAAAACAAAGATATACACCCTGTATGCACAGAACAAAGATGGAAAAGAGCTGATATAGTATCTTATGTATCGTACGTCATGATAATGTCAGTATCAATTGCCAAAATTGCCATTTACAAATTTGCTTGTGATGCCACCTTATTTCTCTGGCTTTTAAATGAGGCAAATAGCATTTCTAAATTTCCAGGTTGGTGCATAAATGTTGAGAAAAAAAGGATGCGAAGAGAAGGGGACAAATTGGTCTGCTTGAAAAAAGTCTGCCTCTTTGGATCACAATCCCAGGTCCAGTTTCCCTTCAACTCTTCTGTGTTCTCCTCCAAGAACTGTGCTGACACAATTACTCCTCCCTTGTCCACTTCAGTTTTTTTCCTACTTTTTTTTTTTTAAGTGTATTGTTGTTTTGCCAAATCAACATGCTTTATACAAGCAGGTAATCCAGTGACAGATCTAAAATATATTTTCATTGGAGGCAAAGGAGGTGCAAAAGATCCAGACAGTGTAGCAATGCTGGAACTCTAAGAAACATAACATAAGAAATCTCTAAATATAATAGTTTAGCTTTAAAGAAACAGCTTTAAAGAAAATTTGACTGAGTGGTCAATTCTAGGAGAACTTAAGATGAAAATTGTTGTGCTTGGACACCTGAACATCTCACAAAGAGATCCAAATCTCTTTGTCAGCTAATTTAGTATTTTCACAGTCTGACAGAAGGGAAGTAATATTGTTTAATTTTGCTGGATATTGATCATATAGAGCAGTGAGGACTAAAAAATCTTGGTGAAAATGGGCCCAGAGCAAGGTGCATAAGGAAACCATTAAATCTGTTAAAACCTCAATAATGAATTCCAAATTATTTTACAGTTTCCTTTGGTTTTAAATACACTTAAAGTAGTAGTTTGCATTTAAAACACGCTTTTCCTTTAATACACTCATGCAGTACAACTTTTGAATAGCCTATGATTGGAATAGCAACTGACTAAAATAGTACTTTTTTTCTCTGATGTGGTGCCGTTGTTCAGGGAGAACAACAACATACGTGTGTGTGTGTGGTGTGTTTGTGTCATGTCTACTTACTCAACTACCATTCCCATCAATGGCTGCTCGACCAGCATAAACACACAGCCAGTCAAAATCGTCAAGATGAGAAACCAACTGAACACAGTGTTTATGTTAAGGAAATTAAAACCTATCTGCAAAACAGCACAAATACACAAAAACACATGGCAAAGTGCAGATACGTAGGACAAAAACAAACAAAAGACATCAGAAAAAGCACCAACAACGACACCAAACAAATCAAATCACCAGCCCTGAAATCAACAAAAAAGCCATTGTGGCTGTAAAGGATATGGGTGGAGGAGGATCTTGATGGCAGTGGTCCTCAGAGGGTTGAAAGGACTAAACAGGTAACAGGCCGACTCAGCATTAAACCTGTGTATTATCTTTTCCTTACACACTACAACAAAGGTCTGAGGAGAAAACAAGTTCAGGCAACTTCAGAGTGAGACACCTGTGTTACTTTTAAATTAGTCATATTATTAGCAGATAATACAGCTAAAACTCTCTAGTCCTCTCTAGTGCGTTCCTCTAATGCACTATTAGACCAGTAATTGCTCAGTTGGCACACATTCAAAAATAAACACTAATCTCTAACTTTTTTTTATAATTGGGGAAACATTTCACTTAAACACCAGGGAATGTATCCCTTCGAAAGTCATGTTTGTAGACATTTCTATAGGCCCTTCAAAATCTGACTCTGGAACAAGCTACCAGAATAAAATACATGTTCAGTCAAGAATTTTGCTTGAAACATCAGGAATTGACTTAGAATTAACAAAAGAAGCTGGAGAGGGAAATCAAAATTGTCAACAAACACAAATCATTGGATATCTCCTGAGGGATCTCCAGAGATGCTTTAGTCCATAGCTGGACTAAAGCATCTGCCAACTCCTGAACAGTCTGTGGTGCTACTAGACCAGGGGTTGGCAACCCAAACTGTTCAAAGAGCCATATTGGAACAAAGAAACAACAAAAAACTGTGTAAGTGTATTAGCCCACTATAAAAAAGGGCTACATGGGCTTAAATATATAATAAGAATTCATAATTAAATGTTTATCATGGAGCAAATGTTACATCCTGTGACTACTCTGCTGTACGATATTCTGTGCTTTAAGTTTAAATTCCAAAGTAGCACGAGGACCATTGAACGCTTTTACCGTGTGGAAGTAACTGCTCGCCGCTTCACCGCCCTTCACAGTGTGTTTTGTATGTATTAGGTGTTGTTGCATTGATGAGATTATACAAATACGATAAAGGAATCTTTCTATGGTGATGCATGTGGTCATCGGAGCACTACGGGTAGTAACCCCTACACTGGGAAAAGTGTCTCTGACAGATACATGGAGAAACGTAAGACATCTCAGTCCAGAAATACACAGCTCCAGGGACAGCTAAGGTACTGAGAAGAACCCTCAAGCTCCCGATCCACCTGTAGAGGACTTGAGCTTGAGATGAAAAAGCCACCATTCCCACCCAGTAGCATTAAGTTTGGGTGAGAGCAGTCTGTATATACAGCGGGTCACGTAACTACTGAATGTGCCACTATTTATCCAAGTAAATATATATTTCTAGGAGTGCTGTTTACATGACATTTTTTATCAGATGTTGGTAATAATCCATGCAATCCACACATTAAAAAAATCAAGAAATAGATGTCATAAAATAAAGTTTTGTGCAATAATGTGGAATGGAGCAGGGGAAAAGTATTGAACATTTGAAGAAAGGGAGGTGGAAAAAGGCATGGAAAGCCAAGACAACAGCCAAACTCTCCCAGTAATTAGAAAGTAATCCTGCCTATCCTTCTGAATGTTCCAGTGAGCACTGTTGGGGCAGGAGCTTCAGAAAGAACTGGAATTAGCAGGAACAATTGTTTAAAAGAAAACAATTAATGCCCTCAATCGACATGGCCTGTATGCACGCTCACCTAGCAAGAATCTATTGCAGAAGAAAAAGCATGTTGAAGCTCTTTTCAAGTTTTCTACACAACATTTAGACAATCATGTGAAATGCTGGGAAAACATAGTCTGGTCAGATGGATGGATGGATACATCTTCTAAATTCAGAAAGATCGCGACAGTTTTATTAAAATTTGTATTTTTTCAACAAAATTTTACTTGCTGACACAAAAAGTGAGACTAACCTTCTGAGTTTCATAGAAGGGATCCAAATCCTCCAGAGGGGTTCTGCAAAATTCTGGGGGCAAGTCCCCGTAAATAAAAGGAAGGGGTCTCCCAGCCTTCAGGTGACTGGCTGGTTTGGTTTTGTTCTTTTTTGGTTTCTGGAACAAATTACGCACAGTAACTGAGTTGGAACCATTATCTGACGACTGATTTGTTTAAACTGACAGCTAAATGTCTTAACCTGTTTTTTCTTCTCATCTTCCTGTTGTAGTTGGATCTTCTCCAGTGACGCTGGTGTAAAGCGTCTGAAGACTTCCACGCCAATTGGGGGCAACAGAGATGTCATCCTCTCTTTCTGTAGCTCTACCCGGACTTCATAGTTGCCATGTAACAGGTTTCTGATTTGTAAGAAATTATACATCCATGAGATTAAGTTCATATGTTAAATGAAACATCAACACTTGGTAACACCCTCCTTCCCTTTGAACTTAGCGTGAGCCTTATCATTCTCTTAAAGAAAAGACAATTATTTAAAATCTACAGTCACACAGGATGACATTTTTCACACTCTCCCATTTGGCAAGAGGTTTAGATCCATCAGGATCTCCACCTACTGCCAAAAAATAAAAAAGTTAAAACACCAATATTTCCCAAAAAGATTGCACTGCATGTATATAATATTTTATATATTTTGATATCACAGTGGTTGAATATTTCAGTCCTGCCATGGTGCTTTTCCTCTGTAAAATGTTGCCCTTTTTTATCTTTTCTCTAAGCATTCTAATACAAAGGGATGTAATTCAAATTATATTTTTCCAAAGTTTTGTAATTCAGCTGCGTGTTTGGCCATGTAGGCCCCTTATTACCTAATGATTTCTCTCCTTTGTTTGGAAATGCACTTGGCAACAAAGTTTTACTGATTCTGTTGCTTGAATTCTTATGACCTTGTGATATTTCTTTTTTGTTTTCAAAAAGATTAGCAGAAATTTAAACTGTCTTTGAAACATCAGTATTTTATAGGGTCATTATAAAGCTAGATTGGTCATTTAAACCCCTTACACTTGGCACCCACAGAAGTCACAGCTGCAGGTAGGGAACCAAGGAGGAGTAAAACTCTTATTTTTTTTTTTTTTTTTTTTTTTTACAGTGTCCTGTCTGGCAATGTGGCAGTACGAATAATTGTCTTGATGCCAAAAAGAGCCCAACAGATTTTACTTTCACAAGTGGAGCAGTTCGGCAATTGCCATATTGCTCCACTTGTTTCATGCATTTAAATTGCTTTATTATAATTATGCACAGAGTTTTAGTTTATATGGACACTGCAATGTAAATAGAGCAGCAAAACAGAAGAAAAAAAGGATAAAAGAAAAAGAGAAAAGATGAAAGAAAGAAGAGATAGAAAGGAGACAATGACAAAACATTTTCAGTCTGCTTCTTCACCTGTAACGAGATGAAAAAAGAACAGTACAACCGAAAGACTTGGTACAAGATATACAATAAAGCAACACCTTGAAACTATCGCTAAAGTAGTATTATTAAGACTGACATGTACTCTGTGTTAGATGAAGATATGAATGTGGGCTTTCTGTATGGAAGTGAATCTCTGAGTACCTGGAGCCAAGCACCTGTAATTGTTTGTGAGGGTGAACTTGTGCATGTAAAGTTTATCCATAGAAAAAATGCTCAATAGTGGTTGTGGAGAGCTGAAGAGGCACACCCCCCAGAGCACTGAGTGCAGCGCCGGGAGACCCAAAGCCCCAGGCGCCCAAAGGGACCCAAAGAGCGAAGGCAGAAACCTTCTGAGGGAAGGAGGGGCCAGCCCCGGAAATCAGCCCCCCACCAAGGGAGGAGGAGAGACAGCCCCGAGGAAGCCCCCGAGCCACCGCCATGCCGGCGCCCTGGGGAGCCGCGGGGACGAGTCCGCGGGCCCCGCCGGCAGCCGGCCGCCCTGAAATGGATCCGGTCCTGGGCCCCAGGGGCGCCCAACTCCCAGACAGGAGCCCCAGCAAGGCCCCGGCCGGCCGGGGCCCGCGGAGAGGCCGCCAGGAATGAGCCAGCAGCCACCCGGGCATCCACCCCCAGACCCCGAACTCCACCAGTGCACCGGCGAGCCCCGATGCCAGCCAGCGGAGGGAGAGCAGGGCGGGGGGAATGGGCTCCGCACTTAGCGGAGACTTGACATTAGTTTGGGAGGGGGGCAGTTCAGACCCCAACCTGGGAGAGAAAAAAAAAAAAAAAAACACTGCCGGGGCCCACCCATCCCGCGCAGGCCACCCAACCAGATACGCCCCCCCACCCCACACAAACACAAACACACACACACACACCCCTCAGCCACTACATGCCCCTCCTTAGTAAAACTCTTATTGACACAGTGAATATGAGTCTTTTGAAGCAGACAGTCTGAGTAAAATGGTTAAGAACCGATAATAGGGGAAGGAACACAGGCTTTATTCAGCCCATAGGTCAGATTGTCAAGTTTTACAGACCTAAACATAGCTTTGTGAGTCTCTTCTGCAGGCAGACTTACCTCTGAGAGGGGTTCAGCTGAGGAGTTCTCATCTGATGCTCTGTTTGCTGCATCCTCCTGCTCCAGAACTCAAACCAGGACATTTTCCACAGCTTCCTTCCAGGCACTATATGTCTCTCTTTCCTAACTTCAGTCTTTGCTCAGTTTCTGCAGCTGTTCTTCTCCGTGCACAAAGTAGATGCACTTTTTTAAGTCACTCGTTTTTGTCCCTCTCTTGGTTTGGATGGGAGGAGTTTCTATAAGACAATCACTAGAGACATTAACCCTTAAATGGGTGGTTATTAGTGATTATGAAGATGGGTGTGGTAGTGGACAGAAAAGTGGACAAAGTAGGAAGACAGGCCAATATAAGTCCTTTTTTTTCTTTTGATGTTTTTATTTAGAATGAATTAGCTCCTAATATTTGGGGTCATAGTTCAATCAAATATATTGATAGCATCAACTGAGAGAAATGACTTTACTTACAGTCAACATAACATATTGGACATCCTAGGGATCCCATGTAGGAGGTGCAAAATGGTTTAGTCTGCTTAACAACAACTGGTGATAAGTGTAACATCAGCGAGAGACCAGACTGGGGCTATCCAAAAATAATAAATCAGAGTATCAAAAGAAAAGACAGAAGGCAGAATGAGGGGAGGCAGCAGTTTACTACTTTTTTCATAAAGACAAACTGAGTTTACTTGTTATAAAAATTTCAAAAAAGTAAAAATAAAATAAAAAAAAACCCACTGCAATTTGTTTTCCTTGTTATGAATAGTCCAATTAACGTTAATGAGGTCCATTCCAGACAGCTCCTGCTGATTTTTGTATGCTAAATAAATTCTGTAGCTTAGCTTAGGTTATTTGATGTAGGTATAAAGACAATAATGGGCCAGCTAACATTAGTTGATTATCAGTAACCAGTTTCAGAATCAAAAAGTGCAGGATCAGGCTGCAGGTTAGCAAATAAAAACATATCCTTCAAATGTAGGTCAGACCAGCAGAAGTCTATAAAAAGGACTGGACTATAGCATGTATGGAAATCAATACATGCCACAAATCCAACTAATTTCAAAAGAAAATAATACCATTTCAAAAATAATAATAATAATAAATGAGACTTCAAATTAATGAAACCAGCTTAATCTTTAATACATTTATAATCCATTCCATCCATTTGCCATCATGCTGATCCCTGCTGAGGGTTGTTGGGGTCTATCACCAGCTGTCAATGGAAGAGAGGCAGGGTACACCCTGGACAGGTTGCCAGTCTATCAGAGTGCAATACAGGTAAAAAGAGGACAAACAACCATTCACGCACAAACTCACACCTAAGAGTATTAATAGAAATCAAGAGAACCCACGAATGCTCAGGGAGAACATGCAAACACCATGCAGAAGGACCCCAGGCCGGGAACCTTCTTGCTGCAAGGCAGCAGTGCTACATTTAAAATAAGATTTTTCCATGAGGGCATGTTGCTTCTCATTAGCATCAAAACAGTCTGCAATTATCGGCACAGGTTATCTCAAACATCTGATGTATTTTATATTTTACAACATTGTTTGTTGCCACCATGGTGACACCAGAGGAACTTGCTCAGCCTGTTTTTTAGATTTGAATATGTTGTTAAATGGGTTTAAACGGAGAACTAGCCATAACTTGTCTCTTTAACTTCAAATAATCAGGTTTTTTTAGGCTAGAGCCATCAAACCAATACATTCTATGTTAAAGTAACATTTCCTTTGCACTAACAGACTGTGTGTAAACACCTGATTATTAGAACCTAGATATGATTAACAAAACCCTAATTTAGCTTGGATCTTAAAAAAAAAAAAAAACTCCCAAACATCCCTATAAATCCAAAATATGCAATGTTAAACAGAATGAACAGTCCGTGCAGATCAGTTTGGCTTATCAACTGCTGCAGAAGAACAACTAAAGGTCTTTTGTCTGTTAACACATTCAGTGGAACATTGACAGGTGCTAAACCTTAAATCTACTCTAAAACATAAAACCTGCCTACGGAAGAGGAATAGGGCCACTGAAAAAAAATAAATAAAAGTTAACTGATTTTTAACTTTTCTTTCTGTTTAATATGGGAAAAAAGTTAGAATTCGGACTTTAATCTCAGAATTGTGGATCTTAATGTAGATGGGCACCATGAAGGAAGAGATGTGGGAGCGCTCAGCTTCACTGACAAAGATGTGAGTTGTTTGAGGTGGCCAGTGACACATTGGTGGAAAATGATGGAATTAGGCAACTTTTTACATGCCCGAGGGGTCCCCTCATTAATGGAGGAGCATTGGAGGGTCATTAAAACAAGAGAGCTAGTCTCTAAAACAGACATGGCTTGATGCTAACATGTTTGTTAGCTGTCAGAATTCTGAGAAAAAAGTCAGAATTCTGACTTTTTTTCCATTTTAAACTGAAATAAAATTTAAAAATCGGTTAACTTTTTTTTTCAGTTGCTCTAATCCTCTTCTGTACCTGCCAGCTGAAGACTTTCATAGTTATATTTTACAGATGGAAATGTGGCTTTTTCTTGTCCAGTGCTTTAATATTTAGTTTCAAAATTAATGTAAGGCATTCCAACCCTAAAGACTTAGGGCTCACAATTGCACATAAATCTCATCAAACAATGTGAAAAGCTGTTCAGTTTAATTTCTCCGACCCTATTAAATATTTTCCCTAATGGTTATTGTGTAAGGTATATATAACGTGACTTGTATCTCTGCTTCTTTCTGTATGTCTGCTTCTGTCTCCTTGAACCCCAGTCAGTCTCAGCAGATGGTCGCTCACACTGAGCCTGGTTCAGCTACCTGTTCAAATAGAGATTTCCTCTCCACTGTCGCTACATGCATGCTTGGTGTGAGGGATTGCTTTTGAGTCAATCAGCTGGTTTTCTCTCTGAATCAGTGTGACTGTATGATCTGGTTGAATTGTCTCTGTAAAGTGTCTTGAGATGATATGTTTTGTGAATTGTAAATAAAACTGAATTTAATTTTTTAAAATAATAGAAAATATATGGTATTCTGTATTATTATTTAAAAGTGCTCTTGCCTGAATGAAAATAAGTTTAAATGCAAATCTGCCAGTGGCATGGGACAATGGCATGACAGAGGCACTCGGGGAGGAAGATGGACATCAGTCCTGCAGTCTGAGTTCTAAACTGTTGGGAAGAACAGGGATCGGCTCATAGAGGGATAAAGCTCATCTTCCATTTCAGTGGTTCTGGATCATTAGTCCCATGCTCTGAGGTCCACCTTTGTGTCCTCTGGCCCTGTCTTACTACCTCAGTTGATGCTTGTCATCTCTGAGGTTTGGTATTTAAAGCTACTTTAGACATTTTCTGCGTCAGTGTACCTGACTTCTGGTTCTTAACTTCCAGCTGGAGAGGTTTGATAACATATTCTAGTGGATCTGATGATCCCAGACACAAGCGGCTGAAATGGGTTTTCACCGTAGTGCATCTGGATTCTCCCTTGGAGATAGAATTAGGAGCTCAGTCATCCGAGGAGGACCCAGAGTAGAGCCGCTGCTCCTCCACATTGAGAGGAGCCAGTTGGGGTGGCTCGGGCATCTGGTTTGGATGCCCCCTGGACACCTCCCTGGTGAGGTGTTCTGGGCACGTCCTACCGAGAGGAGACCCAGAGGGAGACCCAGGACACGCTAGAGGGATTGAAGTGTCTGAGAAGAGGGACGTCTGGGCCTCCCTACTGAAGCTGCTACCCCCATGACCCGACACTGGATAAGCGGAGGAAGATGGATGCATGGATGGATGGATGGATGGATGGATGGATGGATGGATGGATGGATGGATGGATGGATGGATGGATGGATGGATGGATGGATGGATGGATGGATGGATGGATGGATGGATGGATGGATGGATGGATCTGATGAACCTGGTGAACTGGAAGATTCTGCTTTGTTTTCTTGGATTGAGATCTTATTTACTGTTTACAATAAATAAATAAATAATGTACTGAAGCTCAGGAGGGAAATGAGCTGAGGCCTGGAGGAGAGGCCCCTCCTCTTCCAGTTGCTCTTGTCCCACAGTATACTTGTTCAAAAGAACCAAAGGTACAACAGATTCAGAACAGATGTAAACTCTGCAGAGGCTTTGACATGGAAGGCAAGCTTGCTTGCATAGCACATACCAGTAATGAGAGAGTTTAAAGTTCTGTACAAAAGGAAAGCACACAGAGAGACTTACACTGTAGTGGCTTCATAGAAGTAGGTAAACAAAAGTTGGACTATAAACTTACAAACTAGCAAAGAGTTGTCAAATGCATTGCGGTTATAGTTATCTAATGCTGTTTATGCAACCTTTTAACTTTAATCTAAATAAGATGTGGTAACTTAACCTAATTAGACAGCAGCCCACAGGAACTAGGGTGTAAAACCCCTATTCTAGGTTCAAATGTGAGGCCATCTCCTGCATCAGAGAGCTGAAGTTTGGCCCAAACTGGCTCATTAACAGGAAAAGGATCTACAACACAGCAGGAAAGCTACAACAGAATGGCTGAAAAAAAAAACCATGTTCAAGTGAGAACATATTCATTTCAGTCTTTAGAGAGCTGGAACAAAATTAGACTTTTGAACACTATAGTCTGAACATAAGGAAATGTTGAACATTCACAAGATGGGAGCCCAGAGGAATGAACACCCCCAGTGGGCGAGGAAATCACATCCTGTTTCCTGGAAGAACCCCCCCCCCCAACACGCAGACACTGTAAAACAGAGACACAGTCAGTAACATTGAAAGAAGCTGACAGCAGTTTCACAACAAAACACAAAATTCCTGCATCACACACACATCTTTGTGAGGCTCAGACTGAAGGTCCTCACAGAGATGTAATTATTCAAAACAGATGCAGTTTGTCCTTAGTTTCTGATTACATAATTATATTCTTCTTTATTTCCTGAGTCTTAGCCAGTCTGAACATTATGTGACCAAAAAACTGAAAAACATGACCTCTAATACAAAAGCTGGCTTGTCTTCTAAAATATGTTTTTCCTTCCTGGACTCCAAGATGCATCCAAAATCTCTCATCTCCTAGTGTACCATCATTTCATGTAACTGTAAATGTACTTTTTTTTTATTGATCAGAAAAATTACATTTCGGTGTTGTAATTGGAGGCCTAATTTAACCTGTCCAAGGTGGGCTTCTTGTTGGTTGATCAGACTCATGAGGTCTGAGTCCTCC